GATGTTGTTTGGGCTCTCATAGGCGTGACCGAGCCGTCGGGCCGTGGCGCTAGATCTGGCCGAGATACGGTCGCCGCGGTCGCCCGAGCGGGGTGTCCCTGCTTAGTGCCTGTGCGGCTGTGTGCATGTGTGTGTGTGTGAGTGCGTGTGTGTGAGGTGGCCTGTTTGTGTCCACGGAGACGCGCTGCTTTGGTGACCTCGCGGATGAAAAATCGCGTCGCGACGCCGTGGTTTTGCTATGTAGAACACGCCGTGATCGCGCGTGCGACACGTGCTCCGCACACAGTGTGCCACACACAGACGCGAGCGAGGACCTAGGTGGCATCCCAACAACACGTACGTACGGTGCATAGTGCACACAGCGGGCCGTGCGGGTCACCACGCGCGCGCGTGTGTGCGTGCGTGTGTGAGTGTGTACACAACGCACACACTCACGCTGCAAGCACGCTGGCACGCGCAGAGCTTGTCCTTCTTCTTGCCGGAATGCCAGGCATGGCCCAGGCATGGCCCAGGCATGGCCCAGGCATGGCCCAGGCATGGCCCAGACGACGGGCAAGGCGGGCGCCTCGCAAAATGTCGGAGCGGCTTATTGAATCTGGGTTCGGGGCTTGGGCCTTGTCTCGCTGCCGGCTGAGTGCAGCACTCACTCGGTGTAGCCCGATCTAGGTCACACCTTTCCAGGTTCCGTTGGCTTCGGCGAGCTTCGGCGAGCTTCGGCGTGCCTCGGTTGGCCAGGCCAGGATACCTCCTGGCGACAGGTACCCGCATGGCAGGGCTCACACTCACACTCACTGGGCCTCCACTGCCGCACTGAGAGAAGGGGTCGGTGCCTCACGATAAAACTGTGTTTTGTGGAACCCCCCCAATGGCGACAGTTACACGAGTTCAATCCTTGCAACTGTTCAGCCGATGATCACAATAAGACTGCTAAATAGTGAGAGTGACTGAACCGCCAATAATAGTCAGCATGAAAGGACTCGATTAAACTGGCTTTAGTCATAGGCTTGATCGATGGTCAGTAGTCGCGACTAAAGCGTTTAGGTGTGGCACCGAAACACTGGCGATGCGACACTCAACACGGAAGTCGCGTTGCCATCGCCCAGCGCTCCGCCATATTCTCAACAGTGCGGTAGCTCAGTGGTCTCCGCGCCTGGAGGCTGGATAAGAAGCCGGGTTCGGGGGTTCAACTCCCCGTAGCGCAACCAGTTTCTCCTGGCATAGTATCTTTGTATACTATTGTGCTGTCAGGAGATGGACTGTGGGACACTTGGGACCCCAGGAAAGGGAGCGAGTTATCATTTTCTCGGTGCGTCCGCACACATTCGTCAGTCCAAGAGGCCCATCAATGCCGGCCTCTCTCAGTCAGCCAGGTGGGCGAGTTGGTAGAGCGACAGACTCGTAACACGTAGGTCCGTGGTTCGAACACTTGTTTTGCAGTCGTTTTTTCATCGGTTTACGTTTATGTGTCAGGACTAAACAGTCAATCGTCAGACCTTATCGCATTCAGTCACTGTAACAAGATTTGATTTAGTGGCAGTGGCTAAAATAGACAGACGACATGTTAGAAAAAGAGTACATCTCACAACTAAAGTAGTGCGACTAAACGATTTAAATGTGGCCATCGAACGTTTAATTGAACCCCCAGCGACCAAACAGATTGGTTGTCACAGCTGTAAGTTTAGGTGTGGCCCCAAAACATTTCCCTCAGTGCGAAAGGGACGAAGGGCCCGAAGGGGCCGAAACGACAGTGCCTCGGCGCCCAGCTGATCCGCGGCGGCCCTTCGGGTGACTGACCCCTCTCTCCCTCTCTCTCGCTCTCTCTCGCTCTCCTCGTCGTACAAGGAGACAATGCGACTAATGAGCTTATCCGGGGACACCACCTCCACCGAGAGCAAGGTGACAGGAGAGCGGACGCTCGAACGCGCGCGCGCTTGTGTGTGTGCGTGTGTGTGTGTGTGTGTGTGTGTGTGCGTTCTGTCCGTATGTCTATCGCTGTGTGTGTGAGAAAGCGGCATCAAAAGGCGATTGGGAAGAGCGAGAAATAAATCACACACCGCGTCCCCCCGCCCCCCTGGAGGGCCGTGTGTAGGTCCTCCACGTGCATGCACGTGGGCCAATGAGGAAAAAAGGATGAGGCAACGAATGCGCGCGTGCCCACGCACACCAAGTCGCACGCACGCACACACACACACACACGCACACACACACATTAATTCATTCATTCGTTCATTCACCATGTGCTGAACCGGCGCGCGCGGCCCGGCAGGCCACGTCGAGACGGTCCGGGACGGCCGGGCCCAATCAGAATGCAGCGGCCGGCCAAGTTCGTTAAATCTCGCTAGACGACGCCACCACGCCAGTTTCAAATTACGCGCGCGTGTGCGCGTCCGAGTGTTTCCGGTGGGAAAAAGGGGGGGTGGTCGGGGCGTGAGAACTAGCTGCAGTTACTGCACCGCACAGGTGCGGCTTGCCGTGCGGGTGACACCGCGGGGCGTAGCGGGGCGGGGGCTTGGGGGGCCTTGGGCGGGGGCTTTGGGGGCGGGGCCTTGGGGGCGGGGGCCTTGGGGGGGGGGGCCCTTGGGGGCGGGGCCTTGGGGGCGGGGGGCCTTGGGGGCGGGGGGCCTTGGGGGCGGCAGGAGCGACAGGGTGGTTCACGCGAGCGGCGACCAGGACGGCGATGGACTCGGAGCGTGCGGCGCCGCGGATCACGCTCGAGGGCCTTGAGCGTGTCCGCGTGTCAGACTCGGGCGTGGCGTGGCGTGGCGTGGCACGGAGCCTGGCGGAGCCTCGAGCACGCAATCCCATTGTCACGACCAATTTCTGGTCTGGATCGGCGCCTTGTTCGCGGCGTTCGCGGCGTTCGCGCTGGACGGCGAGGCGCACACCAAAAAAAACCTTCGCTGACTCGCAGCCTTCCGGACTGATTCCGGACAGCAGTGCTTTCGTAGGTCGCTGTCTCTCTCGCTCACGGCACGTCCCGTCTGGGTGCGAGAGAGACAGCGCGACAACGCTGCAACGGAATCAGCGTGCAGCCTGCCGCGGTGCATGTCGATCGCCACGCTTTCCTCGAGGCTTTCCATGTGCGCCGGGGCCGCGGGGCCGCGGGGCCGCAGGGGCACGGGGCGGTGCCGCCGCGTTGTTAGCACAATATTTCACACCCGGATGCCACGCCGCACGCAGCACGGCCACGGCGCAGCGCAGCGCGCGGATCCTGTTCAGGAAGTCGACCGCACTCGGAACACGCGGCCGGAACGAGAGGGGAAAACAGTGACCGCGGCGGGTATTTGAACCCGGGTGGTCCGCGCGCGCGAAAAGAAGCCCCCGACGGTCCGCGGCAAAGTCCAGCCAAAGCCCACGAAGGCAAAGTGCATTAGCTTTATCTGCATTGCTGTGGCGTGGCCTGGCGACGCTGCAGCACGTAGGCCAGCACGGCCAGCACGTAGGGCAGCGCGGCGTGGCTCTGGTGGTGCCGCGCATCGAGGTCTCCGCCGTGCAGTGCCTCTGGAAGGCCGCGATTGCCGAGGCTTGTCGGCTTGTCGCTACCGGAGTACCGGAGTACTACCGGAGTGCGGCGGCCCGCCCATTTACGCCACAATGGCAGACCTGCCCCGCGAACCACCGCCAAGCGGCACGCCGCCGCGCCGCGCCAAGCACTGCCAAAAGCTAACCAAAGCCACTCCATTCTCGTCTCCATCCCGCTCGAATAATTCATAGCGCCGCTCGACGTCGTGTGTGCACACTGTGCAGGCAGCAGGCTCGATCCGAATCGTCGCTGTCTCCCTCGCACTCGCGGGGCGCTCTGTGCGGGTGCGGGAGTGACAGCGCGACGTAGTACTACTGTTTCAGGCCGCTGGCAGTGCAGACGCGGCGGCGCGAGGGCACTCGTAGGTATGACGGTGCGATCTCGTTGGAGTTGGCAGCGTGTCTCTGCGTATGACTCGAGGGTCTTCACGTCGCGCGGCGTTCATTCAAATGGCGGTGCGTTGCTGCGTGCTGGCGGTGCGGGGCCGCGCGCCATTCTCACAGAGTGTGTGGCGGCTGGCGCAGGCTGGCGTCGCATTTGCATGCGGGCATTGCGGTCGGGACTCCCGGGCCGGGCCGCCGCGTGCTTTCGCCGCTCTGTCTCTCTCGCACTTGCACTTCCCGGCGGGGAGCGAGAGAGAGACAGAGCGGTGCTGTCCGGAGTCCGGCTGCTGCACGGCAAAAGTGTCGCAACTCGGTCCGTGGTGGTGGCGGAGGCGCGCGGCCTCCTGGACGTCCCGGCCGGATAGGATCCTCTCGGCCGCCGCGACGGTATGCTGGACGCCGTGCCTGGCACACTGTGCCTGGCACACTGTGCCTGGCCGCCGCGGGCCTCCGAGGGGTTCCGGCGGAAGCGGTCCGATAAGTAACGTCCCGCAAAGGCGCCAGCAGCCGGGGGCGCCGAAGGCTGTCGAAGGCCCGGCAACGCGCAGGCCGCAGGCAGTGATACCGTCAGCGACGCGATGCGGCTCGGGCCTCGGGCCTCGGCGTGGTCCTGGAGTGTCTCCGTGTCCCCGGGGCCTGGCGGCCAGCCTTGGCAGCCCCTCCGCACTCCGGGGTGGCAGCGCGGGCCGCGCTGGACTCCGGTGGCTCGGCTGCGGCATTCCAGGGCTGTTCTGTTCCGGGCTGTTCCGGGGGCAGTTGGGCCCGCGCCATGTGCACTACACCACTACACTGCACAGCGCTGCTCGCAGCCATTTTCTCCTGGTGGCACCGCTACCGCTACGCCGCGGCGACGCCGTGCCGTGCCGCCGTGCCGCCGACTTGCGCGGTCCTCGACCCCGCGCGCCGCGTCGCGCGTCGCTTAGTGCCAATGTGTGTTTTGTATACACGTCATGCCCGCACTGCGCGGCGCCGCATGGCACCGCCACACGGCCAGGACGGCCCAGGACGCCGAGGGCAAGCGCCACCGGCACCCCGCGTGCCAGTGCGACTCGTTGGAGCGTCTGACTGACCCCTTGTTGTTGTTTTTGTTGCAGGCGAGAAGCCCTACCGCTGTCAGTGGGCGGCCTGCGAGTGGCGGTTCGCGCGTTCGGACGAGCTGACGCGCCACTACCGCAAGCACACTGGCGCCAAGCCCTTCCGCTGCAACGTGTGCGACAGGTCCTTCGCGCGCTCCGACCACCTCGCCCTGCACATGAAGCGCCACATGCCCAAGGGCGCCAAGTAGGCCCGCCAGGACCTCGTCGCCGGGACCTTCAGGGTCCTCGCCACGATGTCCGCGACCCCGCAGGAGCATCTCGTCTGGAGCGCCACCCCGCCAGGCCGCCAGGCCTCCTCGCCCAGGCCATCTAGGCCTTGCTGGACAGGCGCTGCGTGGACGCGTCCTCGAAGTGTCCTGAGGACGATTGGTGCGTGCGTAAGGCGAGGCGCGACAGTGTATCCACACACCGTCACCTCGACGCGACACGGCGTGCGGCCTCCAGATGAAATCAAGCGAATGCTCACAAATCTCAGTATGTAGTGTGTGTGAATTATGAGTGTGACGGACGGACATGATTTACGATTTTGTCAAGGTTGAAGATGGCAGGTCACAGATTGGTCGATGACGAAATGTTTCGCCATGCTACAGTACATTGTTAATTTTTTTTTATCGTCATAGTTTGTAAATCTGTGTTTCTTCGCATGTGTGTCAAAGTATCTGTAACAGAGGTACGAGTAATTAAATGTGTTTAAATTATTTTTTTGTACAAATGCTAGTGTAGTATTCCTTAGTGAGAGCTCGTAATGAAAGAAAGAGCAAGGAGTTTGGCGTCCAGTGTGACGGATTGATCATGTCGCCAAGTCCCAAAGTGCTCCCTCTGTCGAGTCACTTTCGAAGCAAACATTTCAATTTGTCATCTCCTTCATTGCGCGGGACCAGGTCACGGGACCAGGCGTAACTTTAAAACTGAATTGTTCCTTTCCATAGAATTCAACGTGACTCACCACTTCTCTGATATGAAGTTGAGTCTCGATAAAGTCGCCTATCGTATCGCGATACACGATACTACCCTCTTAAAATTGTCAGAAATGTTATTTATTTTTGTAAGCTTGTGCGCGTGCCATTCCTAGATTAAGAGAATGAATGGTAAAAAAATGTTTAAAAACTGTTATCATAGTCGATTTTCTCAGATTTCTATGCAATATGTTGGCACTGTCACAAACTCCCGTCCCTAACGTTAAGTAGCTTAGAAAGGTATGACACCTTTGTTCTTTTTCCACTTTTGTTACAAAGACTACGATAAGTTTGCAATTTTTGTTGTATTACGTAATTTAATTAAGCATTCCTACTTGGGGCATGACGTGGCACCGGCCACCTGGCTGGCAAACGGAGTGAAAGGCCGAGGGGGAAAATAATGAGTGATCAGCATTGGAAGCGGAGAAAACAATAAGTCCTGCCTCGCCGGGCTGGCGGCCTGCTGGCCTGCCGGCCCATGGACTAGGCCCGGCCAGGCCCGCCACGGCCCGCCAGCACTGCAAACGTATTCCAAAATATTGCCTCTCGCTTATTGGTGGACGCGCGCTTCATGGCCTCAAGGCCTCAAGGCCACGCGCGCACTTGATTTATCGGACTGGCGGGAATACAAAGCGCCTCATGCAAAAATTTGATGTTTTTTATTTATTTTTTACTAAGAGGCCAAATTTCCTCTCCGGGCCATGCTATATTTGAAAAGGAAACATGTTGGATTCTGTTCTAGATGCACTCGCCGGGTGCTGGGTGAGCGATGCCACGGACCATGTCCACTAACAAATCTAAGTTAGTAATTTTGTTATCGGTTTGTTTTTATTGTTGTTTATTGTGAGTCGTGATCGACGGCATGCTTCTGCCATGTGGCTGTCCGTGAGGAATATCAAAGCGGATAGCGATGCTATCTCTATTTTGAATCAAATTTGTCGTGCCATGGGCTGCTAGCTTGTCGACTTGACAAATGGGAGTCCTCTACACATGTGCCAGATTGTGATGAAGCGTGTTGAAATCGTACCTGTACCTGCACCAACAAGTAATGCTTTGTTAACACCATTTTTTGCGAGGCAAATTAGTCTTTCATGTTCGGAGTGTGTAATGAAGACCAGTGTTTCTTATAATTGAATGTTGTTTTCTTGAATAGTTTGAACATACCAAAATGCCCCTACATATTATTTACGTCATATCCGATGTTTCTAGTAAGTTGTTTTTTTTTTTTTGTTTTTTTTTTTTTAACTATTGACTAACAATTTTCAAGATGACGAAAGTGCGACTCCTTCAGTATTGTTACCTTGATTTTTTTCAGCAATGTCAAAATATATTTTTAACGAAAGAGATATAGCTTCTGTCGTAATTGTTGCCTCCCCCCTTCCACACACACGCGCGCGCGCGCGCGGCACAATGCACGCCGATTTGTGGCTCGCACGTTCACTTTTCCGCATACGGCTGCACAAGTGCCTCCCGATCGGGGGAACGAATAATAACGCCTCTTTTATGGACCCTCCGAATGATGCGGCCATAAAGCGTTCGCGTAAAGCCAAAGCCAAAACGCGCACGTGACACTTGGCGCCCGCCGCGATCGGCGTCACACGGCGTCACACCACGGCGTCGCACGGCGTCACACGGAGTCACTCGGCGTCACTCGGCGTCACCGGCACAGCCGCACGGCTTGACTCGGTCCAATCACAGTCCAATACCAGCGATTGTGTCGAGAACAATGGGTGGACGACGGCTGGCCGGCCGACTGGCTCACCCTCCGTCCGCAGTACGCAGCCTCAGCGGCACGTCCTGGGCACGTCCGCCTGCAGTCCGGCACGGACCGACCGTCGTGGCCGGGTTCGAATCCAGCCTAGACCGAAACACCCCGTCTTTAATTTCTTTTGGCGGATGGAGACTCTTTGCGAACAACCGTCTTAGCTACAAGGGGCAACGTAAGCTCGGAAGAGCTATTCGCAGAAACTCGAATCTTTCGTCGACCTTCAATGGTTCAAAAACCGTGTCGACTCACCGCCCGCTCTGGGACGGCTGCCGCTGCGGGCACGTTGGGCTGCCTACCCCCACGGCGCTGGACCACCGCCGGGCCGTCGGCCCCGCGCACCGAATTCGTTTTCGGGCCGTGCAGCACACTGCAGCGCCCTTCCGCCAACTGCGGCCAACCCTCAAACACTCCGACGTCGGGGCAGGGCAGTGAGTGCAACGGCAACGCGTGTTAGTTATTCCGGTCATGAATATTGACATGCTGTGCCTCCCGACCGGCCGGCCGGCCGGGCCGACCCTGGAGCACTCATGGCGCTCTTGGCGCTCTTGTCTCGGTGCGCGTGAGAAGAGACACGGCGTGTCGCTCCTCGGAGTGAGTGGAGTGAGCTTCCCTTCGCAGAGAGTGACGCCCAGTCCACCGCCTTCCACGGGATTAGCGGTGGCGCGGGAAAAAGAGAGGGCGGCGAACGAGCAGCGCGTGTGTCAGCAGGTGGATTCCGACCAGGGTTTCCGTCGCGCTCTCTCTCGCACTCACGCCGCGTGCCGGAGGGCTGCGAGAGAGAGCGCGCGACGCAGAGTTGGAACGCAGCCCGCGGTGCCTTTCAATCAGTGCGCGGTGCGATTCCCACCCTTGGAGCGCCCCCTCCACGGGCCGAACGGCGGCCACTACACTACACGGACACGCCGCGCTCGGCGCTCTCATGGAAGGCTGCTTAATGGTGTACATCGCGGGGCGGGGCGCGGCGCGCCGCCACGGACGCTTGTCCAGTGGGCCTCGGTGCCTCGGCGGCCTGCACCCGGAACCGCACGGCCAGGGCCGTGTCGCTGCTTCGCCGCGAAGTTCGGGCCATTCGTTTCCGACATGTCACTCGGCGGCAGCACTGGCACTACACTGCCCACCCCCGCCCTGCCCGCCACTGCGATGAGCAAGACCGCACTCATTTCCGCCTCGGACGCTGTTTTTTCAACCGGCGGTTTGCTCCAGGCGAGCAGGAGGATGACGCGCCGCGCGGCTAAAATGACTTAATGCGCGCCGAAAGAGCGAAAGAGCGATGGCTGAGTCAGACTTATTTACATAACACACGCTTGGCTCGGCCGCTTCGTGACGACCGATCGGCCATCGCCTAGTACATGCCAATCACTGTTCGGCACCCCCGCCCACCCCCTCCCCCTTCCACCGTCTCTTCCGCGAAGTGCCGCCGACTGACATTATACGCCGGTACGAGTGGTGCGAAACCAGGCGAGAATTACTCGTCAAAATGATTTTGTTTGTGTTCATCATTTAAAATGATGATAAGTAAGCAGTCAAAACTATCTAGTAGTATTTTTTGCGTCTTTTGGCATCCCCAGGTCAGCTGCTCGCGTCCTTGACAGCAACGCCACCTTTGTCCCCGTAAACATTCAAAGTAAACAACGCAGTTGGTTTTGTTGTTGCTTTTGCACGAGGCGATATCGATAGCGAAAACACGCTCATTCATTTTTGAATTTGGCGCGTTCTGCGAATAAGCTGTTTACTGCGCGCAGCTTGACGTTGGTTGGGTTCGGTGGAGGGGGAAGGCGTTGCCTGCAAATAAGCAGAGGTTAGGGGCGGCAGGCAAACACAGGCAGAAGATTGGTGGTTCCTTCCACACTTAACTGTCCGTTGGGATTGATTTATCGTCGTTGATTTGCCTTGACAACCGATCCAAAATGGAAAAGAGCATTGAGCGCTGCTTGTCCGAAACGTAAGTATTTGATAATGTTCATTTTTCTGCACGGCAAAGTCACCGTGGCTGTGTTTTTAGGTTATCTGTCAATGTTATGACATAGTATTATTTACGTCAGTAAAATCTTATTTTTATGGTAGAGATTCTGTTGAAATTGAAACAACTCACTTGAATGTCAGAATTCACCACTTTTTTATATTGTGTCTCTCTTTTTTGCATCTTGAACTGTTATTAGGGCTACGGATTACTCATAGATTGCGGCCTTTGTTCCAGGTGTTCGATGGACGGTGTTATTGGAAGTGTTCTTGCTGACCAGCAAGGACTTTGTCTTGGAGGTAATTTAGAACATACCATGTTCCTTAACACAGAAGAATTTTCAACAAAAAGAAAATTGAGTAGCAACATGTTTTATTTATGTTTCAGTCAAAGGTAAAGCTAGCATCAGTAGCTCTGGTGTTATCACTGCCATCGCAGACCAGGTAGCAAAATTGGAACCGGCTAGCAAGAACCCCATCATTGTGTTAGAGAATGACACCAAGTAAGCATCACCGTATTAACTATTTCTTCCATTTGTGGTGCGTTTGTTATAATATTCGTCTGTTTTTCATTTCAGCCAATGTTTGATACAAAGAGCAGATAGGGCAACAGTAGCTATTTTCAAAACTAGCAATCCAGTGAACTGATAATTGTAATATTGTCTACATAAACTTTTTTTTATATATTGTTCATTAAAGACCTTTATATTTTTACTCTGTATCCATAAATTTGTAAATAAAATTTAAAATGAATGCATTGCTTCTTTGTGCTTGTTTCCTTCACCTCTTAAAAATCTCATCTAATGGTTTGGTTGTGAGTGAGGGAAAAATGTAGTCAGGTCCACAGGAACAAGAAGGGGGCTGATAACTGAAGTAAGGGGGGCTTTTTTCACTTGCACAGACTACAGGAAACGCAGGCCGCCTGCAACTGTGGATTTCTAGGTAAATTGATTGGCTTTCCTGTATCCCGACACAGTACACATGTCGCACACCGCACACCCTCTACTTCCGAGTAAAACCGCCCGACGCGGCGAGCCGGACCGATACGATTGTTTGTGTTCGCGGCCGGCCGTCCCCTTCCTAAGCGGAGCGCCGGGTGGGTAGGCCACCCAATAGGCGCGTCCGAGTCGCAGCACTTCGCACAGTGGCCGCCAGAGGGCACCGCCTTAAAGTCGCTGTTCATTCCATGTCCGCAATTTCGCCGCTGTGTCATGTCTTCGTTTTCTTTTAGACCCGAAAGGCCAATAGTGGGAAACACCTCAAAACAGCTTCTGCCGCGGACTCCGGTAGAGTTGTCATTCGCTCGCCCCGTCCATTGGCTGTTTCGGGGTTTGACGGCCCGGTCGGCCCGAGGGAGGGACAACGCAAGTGTAATCGCCTTGGCGATAAACAAAGCGTTCTCGCCAACCTGGCGGACGCGATAGAGGTGCGTGATAGCGCCGATAAGACAAGGCGAGCAACGCGGCGGGGCGGGGCGGGGGCGCCCTGACGCCACAAATTGGTAGGGCGTTCAGTCGCCGGTTCCGCTAGGCCCTCGAAAGCAAAGTCCGGCAGGGCGCTGCAGGACAGGGCAGGACCAAGGCGTCCAGGATGCACCCCGCGTCCGCGCACGCGTAGCACGCGTAGCAGTGTACCGGTGAGTAGGTGACGCGTCTCCAGCGCGTCGTGCGGCACCGAGCCACCTGCTTCGCCTGCTTCACCGCGCCCTCGCTGTCCTCCAGAATCGTCCCGAGTCCTCCAGGACGCGGCACACCGGGCAGCATGGTGTCCCAGACGGGGTGCCTGGGGCTGAGCCTGCGCGCCACGGCCAAGGCGGCCGGCGTCATCACACTGGTGAGCAGTGACTTGCGGGCGCCCCGAACGCGAGACGGAAATCAGAGTGCAAAATGTTCGAGTCGATTGACCCTTCTCCTCTTCAGCTGGAGGCGATCGTGTGGGTAGTCCTGTCAGGGTGGTACAACTTGGTGTACCAGTGCGTGATCCCCGTAGTCGACAAGGATACCGACCTCGGCCTGCGGCTCACCTACATCATCTACGGTTTCAGTGAGTGCGAGTACTGACCCCTGCCGGACCCGGCCGGGCTGACGCCGAGGCTGACGCCGATTCTGACGCACTGTTCAAACAGACCCGGCCTGCCACGCTGATAGGACGGACCTCATCCCCAGCGACCAGTCCGCCCCCCTGGGCGTGAGTGGCAGCCCCGCCACGGCGCAGCGCACCCACCTGCTGTCCGTCGTCTACCTGGCCGTCAGCGTGCTGTGGGTGGTGGCGGCGCTGCTGTTCCTGGGTGAGGCAGCCTGGCGATACTCCGCGCCTCATGGGCCACGGGCGCCACGAGCCGACTCCAAACAGTGCTTTCGCCGGTCTGTCTCTCGCTCACACTCCGTATGTGCGCGGGGGAACACCGACGAAAGCGCTCTTCGGATTCTGCCCGGCTGCGTATCGACATCGCGTGGGGTGGCGACGGCGACACTGTCCGTTACGAGGATAATGCCATTCCCGAGTCCGGGTGCAGTCGGAGAGGGCGTGCCTGCCTCTGGCTGCCTGGATTACGGGACTGTGGCTCGCGGCTTTCGTCGTTATCAAGCCATAAATAACAATCCCCGCGGTGCGCGGCGGCCTGACCGAGCCTGACCCCGCGCCGCGGCCGCGGTGCTGGATTGCTGGACTCCAACCGCTTTTCCTGTTCGGCCGCAGTCGGCGTGTGCGGCTGCACGCTGACCCGCCGCGCCGGCGCGCGCATGTGCTACCCCTGGGTCGCCGTCACGGCCGTCGTCATGGTGCTCGACCTGGTCGCCACGGGGTACTACGCCTCCGACGCATCCTCCTTTGTCGTAAGCAACTTGGGCACGGATTTCAGTGTGGCAGTTTGTCATTGTTGCTCATGTCGACTTGCTCACCTGCAGGACCTGGCCGCCGTCAACAAGGCGACGGATGCCGTGACCATCCCCGAGGACTGGTTCGGCAAGGCCGCCGACACCGCCATCCTGCTGAAGGCCGCCCCGTTGATGCTGCTGGCCATCGCCGTGCGGGGCGTCGTGCTGTGGCTCCTCAACGGCGTGCTGCTCGTGCACGTCGTGCGCTCCATCAAGGCCATGATGCACGAGGACTCGCCGATCAGACAGCAGCGAAGGGTACATCACCGTTACGCGGTTCAGCTGCCATGGCATTTTCGAAAGTTGTTGGGCGGTGCGAAAATCCGCTTCAATTTTTCTGTGAATTACGTAACTTAGGTGCGAATTACGTAACTTAGGTGCGTGTGCTTTAGTTCCAGGACAACCCGGCCAAGCGCTCCCCAAGTCCAGGGCCCCCACCGGCGCAGGCCCCACAGGGCGTGCCGGAAGCCGCCACCGCCCCGCAGACCCCGCAGAACCCGCAGTCGCCGAAGTCCCCGCGCGACGGGCATCTGATCGTGGTGCCGCCGACAACCGCCCCCGCGGACTCCGAACACGCCGCCGTCGCGAAGCCGCAGCCGTCGGCGCCCCCCAGCGCCCCCCACACCGTGACCCACACGACGGCGCACGGCCACGAGCTGGTGGGCGTGGTGCCGCTGCCCGGCATGGACGCCATGGCGCAGGCCGCGCAGGCCCGCGCCGGCAGCGGGAGTCCGCCGCAACGCAGAGACCCCGGTCAGCTGGAGGCGCGGTCGAGCAGCCAGTCCCTGCTCGCGCAGGCCGTCGCCAAGTCCCCCGCGCACGCCCACGAGCAGGCGGGCGCGCAGAACCGCGCCAGCAGCGTCAGTCCGCCGCCACCCCGAGACCCCCGTCGGCTCGAGGCTCGGTCGAGCAGCCAGTCCCTGCTCGCGCACGCCGTCGCCAAGTCCCCCGCGCACGAGCTGGCTGGGGCTCAGGCCCTCGCCGGCAGCGCCAGCCAGTCGCCGCCCCGGGACTCCCGTCGGCCAGCAGCGCCACCGGTGCGGTCCGGCAGCCAGTCCCCGCTCGCACACACCGCCACTGCGGGGTGGCAGCCCGAGTGGCCCGAAAGGGCGGAGAGACCCGTGGAGAGGCCTTTAGAGAGGCCTTTAGAGAGGCCCCTGGAGAGGCCCCTGGAGAGGCCCGAGAGGGTGGAGCGTCGTCTGGAGCGCCAGGACAGCCGCCCCGCCACCAAGGACGAGATCGTGGGCCGCCTCGAGAGGATGTCCCAGATCCGCACGTCGGGCCGCAGGGCCGAGATGAAGCCCGAGTTCGCCGCCGAGGCCAAGGTGGTCCAGCTGCGGAGGCACGGCTCCAACGTGAGTTCCACAAGTGTCACCCTCGTTCACATCGCGTGCCTTGGCGTCGGTTGACGCACACGAATGACGCGTTGTACTGCATTGCGCAGGTGGCGGAGACCGGGCATGACGGGTCGCGACGGTTGGAGCTGGCCCCGAACAGGAAGGTAGGCGAGGGGAGGAGGCTCGGCTCGAGTATGCAGTCCTGCATGTGCGCACGCCGCGCACGGCAGCAGTTTGATTAGCGAGAACACTGGTCGCGATAGCGCCGTCTACCGTCACTCTTCCCCTTTGCCTGTTTCAGTATCACGACGAGGATATCTTCCCTGACGACGATGTCTTCGGCCGACCCTACAGGGTGAGTCAGAGAGAGCGTGAGCGCTCCGTTGCAGCGTCAAGTTCAGCAGCCTTCTTGCACACCCTTCAGCGCCTGTGAGGTAGGCCACCATTCCTGCCTGCAACACGCCAGCGTGCAGGCGGTGGCCTACCTCGCCCCTGTGAAGACGACAGGGGCGAGGTAGGCCACCGTCTCGACAGCGGTGTCTTGCACGCGGGGCCGGCAGCCTACCTCACAGGCGCTAAAGACCACAGGGCACAACGTTTTGAGGCCAGGCACATGGATGCAATCCTCAGTCCACGCGTATGTTGGGCTGCCTACCTTAGGGCGGGCTCAGGCCTTGAAGCCGAGCTCGGACGCTCGGACGCTCGGGACCCACTTCGGCCCTGCCACTCACCGAGCCTCTGTGCCCCCAGGAGCCCCCGAGGCACCTGCCCCGGATGAACTCAGCCGAGTTCCCGCCACACTCGCGGCAGGGCTACGACCACGGCTACGACCATGGCTACGACCACGGCTATGACCACGGATACGAGCCGGACGACGCGCGGCAGCAGAACAGGCGCAGGGTGGATCGCACGCAGAGGTGAGGGCGGCAGTGGCACTCGGGTTTTGAGGAAAGTCGGGGTGCTCTCTCTCTCTTTTTTCTCACACAAGTCTCAAAACTTTTTGGTTCGCAGCCACCGAGTGATCGGCAGCGAGCGGGTGGGGCAGCCGCCATACGCCCTCGCCCGCCAGGGGTCCCGGGCTGCCGACCTGCAGGAGCTCAAGAAGGACCTGCCGTGGTCGTACCTGACAGGGGTAAGCAACGAGGCTACTTCGCGTCCACAACGGAACCCAAACTACCCGACTTGCGAGAGAAAGGTTTTCTTGACTTGTTTTGACTTTCCAGAAACCCGCGTCCTAATGGAGACGAACGGACGAAGAATGTTGAGCTGCGAGGAGACAAGGACGACCCACCAGCGATCTCAACTGTACCTACGTGATAACAGACTGAAGTGACCTGCAATTCTTGTTATCATTTTTATGTTGTGATGATTCTGGAATTCCTCTGGAACCAAGGAAGTTTTGACGAAATGTGGACATTCTGTACATATACGGGGGGAATAAAAATTTTACTGCATTCCAAGAGCATAATTTTTCTGCCTAACAATTTTCTGCCAATTTCTTTTAATGGCGATCCATTGGTAACACATATTTATTTGTACTTATTTTACTGGGTCTTCCAATGCGGTTGCCCCCTCCATAGATCAAAACCCCCATATATTTTTTCGTGGCCGTGAAGGTTGTGAACCTCCGTGTGGGGTGTGCAAAATTGAGGTTTAAACAAACACAATGAAAGTTTTCGACGTTATTTTATTACAAAAAATAATTGGTCACACAAATTAGGTGTTTTTTCATCCAATACTGATCATCAACCTATTATTCTACGCACACTTCGTCAGCAGTCTTCTCTATGTCTCTCATATTGTAGGATGTATACCATCCTACCGGTTAGAAAAAATCCACGCTCATATCACAGTCCAGTTTAACGGTACATCAACACATCATTGTGTTGTCTTACTCATGGTGCCGTTCATAAACAATAAAAGTTGTGAGATTTTGAGGGGGCGGCGGTACGTTCACGTTTCTGATTGGGAGGATCAAAAGACAAACAGTGGTCAAAAATCTTAGTTCGCGAACGGACTTAACATAGACAATCCAGAGACTGGAAGTGCAGAGAGCGTGTTGGAATGTAAAAACTTTTCCGTCTTTTCGGGTGCGTTCGTTGCGCCAATTTCGTGCTAAATGAAAGTTCGCTGTTGTAAATACAGAAGTACTCTGGCGAAACAGAATAAAATGGTGAAACCTGAAGAATTAGGTGCTAATACTGATTCATTTGCAGGAATGGAAACAGCTGAGAATTTTCACCCCGTCTATCACATATACATAGCTTTACAAAGTGACTTACAACTAAACAGCATTGCAGTGTCTGAATCAACTTTTTAAAAATTGTAAATTTGATTCTAGGTCGAAACCTAGTAGTTCCTTGACTGAACACATTAAAAAGGTAGGAGCCACTGCTTCGCTGTATGTATATACTAAAATTACAAAGTAACAGAAACTGGACAAAACTTCTGACAACTACTTCGATTTAAGGGACTCTTACCAGAGTATATGGAAATGAAGCCTTAGAAAAAAACATGCATAATAATGGACACAATTATGTTTACAATGGTTGTTGTGGTGACGATGAGCCCATAAAGGTGAAAAATAAATAATATTGATGAAGATGAGATTTTTCATGAAGCAGTGACGCTCCAGTGGCCGCGCAGGCTGTGCAGGCAGCGCGCCGGTCGAGCGCCTGCGGAGTCGCGGGTAGGCCGGCCCGCAAGACTGGCGAGCCGGGCGGCCCGGCTGCGCACCCTTGCGAGGGGCGATCATGAGGACACGACGTGCGAGAGGCCCAGGTCCGTGTTGACGATGGAGGGCTTGCGCCGCAGGGTCTTGTCCGTGGGCGTGTCCCACGATTGCTTCTCGCCCGACGCGAACAGCTGGTAGATGGCGGCCGTGACGAAGTACACGCCCGCGCTGATGAAGAACACCTCTCGCCAGGCGGCCTGCGTCGGCTGTGGGACGGAGACAGAGTACGTTAGAGACTACTTGTGAGTTTGGCGGGCTGGTCCCGGACAGCAATGCCGCGCTGACTCACCCGGTTGTGCGTGATCTGGCCCGCGATGAGCGGCGCCAGCAGCGCGAAGATGTTGGCCACGCAGTTGGTGATGGCCATGAGCACGCCGGCGTAGCGCGGCGAGATGTCCAGGTGGTTGATGCGGTACGCGCTCATGGTGGCGCCCATGAGGCCCACGCCGACGGACAGCAGCGCCACGGTGTTGGGGCCCGAGCAGCCCGTGTACGAGGCCCCGATCATGCACAGCGCGGGGCCCACCAGACCTGCGAGCACGCGAGCAGCAAACACTCAGACCGCTGTTCTTTCCCGCCGCCTTCGTCGTGCGACAGGGTTGCCGCCTTACCGATGGCGTTGAGCAGCTTCCTGGTGAAGGTGGCCGTCATGCCGCGCTTCCAGATGAGCCAGTCCGCCGTCACCGAACACACGTTGGAGAAGATCCACATGGTGAGGTAGGGCAGCGCCGACTGCCAGCCGTTCTGCAAGCCAAAGGCGAAGGCAAAGTCAATCAATGCTCCGGCCGTCCACGACTCGAGGGGTGTCCTCTCTCGCGCCGACTACTCACGTCCTTGATGTTGACGTGCAGGATCTGCTTCATGAAGGTGGGCAGCTGGGTGAGCAGCGTCTCGTAGCCGTAGTTCTGGCCCATGTGCGCGGCCAGGATGGCCCAGAAGGGCATGGAAGTGAGGATGGACTTCCAGGGCACTGCGCTGGGCTGCATGCAACAGGCGGTCGGGGTTAGGTTGGGTCAATGCACAGTGACTGGTCGGCTGACTGGCCGACTGCCCGGCCCGTCGTACTCACCTCCTCCACCACCTTGCCCCAGACGGCCTCGTTGATGTACCGCCGCTCAGCCTCGTGCATGGTGGGGTGGTGGTTGGGGTCCTCGTACACGGTGAACAGGAAGGCTAGCGACCAGATGGCGCCCACGGCGCCGAACACGTAGAAGATGGAGGGCCAGCCGCCGCCGAAGCCGTACCGCGACAGCAGCCCGCTGAGCGGCAGCGAGATGACCGTTCCGAGCTGGGCGCCTGCGGGGAACCGGGAGGCTGGTCAGCTCGATGCTGGTGTGGCTTGTTGCACCGCCACGTCGTCGGCCACGCCGGCCACGTCGTCGGGGAGGTGCACGTCGAGCACGCTCCGCGCGCAGATAGCGCTACTTTGTCGTCAAGTGCACCCGTCTACTCACCGGCGTACACGAAGGCGCCCAGCTTGCTGCGCTCGTTGGGCGGGATCCAGCTGGACAGCATGGCGTGCGTGCAGGGGACGATGGGGCCCTCGCCGAGGCCCTGGATGAAGCGGACGGTGATCATCCAGCCCTCACCCTGGTAGGCCGCCAGCGGCACCAGCACCCCGAACACCGAGTTGATGAGCATGCCCACGCCCAGGAAGTACTTGGCGCCGTACCTGCCAACACAAAAGTCACGGGTTCAAATACCAGCAGCACGTGCCGCGCGCAAACATTTTTTCGCTTGCGTTGTTATATCTCAATGGGCTGTGGAACCGCTGCAATCACGCGGCACGAGGCACAGAGCGGGCCGCCAAAGTCGAATGAGCCACTCTGAATGGGCCGGTACACCGTTTGGCTGCGTAGAGAGATAGACCGCGGGAGATAAATTTACTCCTCGCGGTTTTCGACCTGTTGGACGCTCACCTCTTGGCCAGGATGCCGAACGGGATCTGCGTGACGACGTAGCCGTAGAAGAAGGAACTGAGGATGATGCTTTGCTCGGGCGACTGCCAGACAAACGGACCGTCCTCTACGGTCTGCAAAATCACATAAAAACAGCGACTGTCACTTTGCTGCTGTTTCATGGTGCAGTTACAGTGCAGAGGCAGACTGCTTGCGCGCTGCGTAGAGAGCGGTAGCGAGGGTGCCGATGACCTCACCTCCTCCTCGGCGGGCTTCTCGACGGCCGGGCACTCGTTAAGGTTGACCACGTCCTCCCCGAGGACCGCCGTCTGGTTGACCATGGCCACGATGGCCACCGACATGTTGGTGCGCATGATGTAGGCGTTGGCCATGCCCAGGAACAGCATGAGCACGGTGAAGTGGCGCGCGCCCGTCCATTCTGCAAATCACGCCCAACCGTCACTGCGCTGCCTTTCGGTGCAACTCGCTTTCCGCGGACGACCCGGCGGCCACGCGCGGGCCACGTGGGGGCCATGCGTGGGACGCCACTGCAAGCCACATGGCCATCATCCGCGCCGGCTTAATTTGGCACCAGCGCGATGGCCTTCTCGAACTCCTCGCCGCGCATTAACAGGGAAGCCCCATCAAGCCCCCAGGCACGCCGCTGTAAACTGATTCCGCACCTCTCTGTCTCCCTCCCACCCACGCGGGACCCATGCGGGACGCCGGGGACGCCCCGCGAGTGCGAGAGAGACAGCGGCGGCAGCCATGTGCGCACTTGGCGGGCGGGGCGTGATAAACGGCGCGCTCCATTTCCACGCCGCGGCGAGGGATTACCGCGGCCAAACAGGGCGAATCAGGAGATTCAGGAGGGCGCGGCGGCATTTTACTGCACTGTCCTGCTCCCTTCTGCACTCGTTGCGACTCGGGACGACTCGGAAGCCTCGCGGGACTTCGGTGGAATTCCCCCCGACGCCCCCGCGCAGGGCCCCACTGATTAACGGGCGAGCGACAACGAGAGTCTCGAACCCCCCCTCCCCCCCCCCGGCGGCGCGCCGCACCGCCACACCTCGCGCCATAGGGCCAATGGCGAGGCTAGACGGCGTGCGTGTGCCGGCCAGTGCCTCATGCCTCACTGCCAGTGCCGTGCCGCCGTGCCCCGGCCCGATTAAGGGGGTAGTACACTTCGCAGGGTCAAAAAATCGCATTTATGGGACGTCTATTTGCGGACAGGGGAAGTGAGACACATCAAAATTGATGATAGGTCGTTATTATATTACTATTGAAGATCACAATTGTCAATTTTGAAGGTCCTCCGAGGTAGCTGCAGCGACTTTGGCCAATTTCCCCAAATCACTGCAACAAATACATAGTCCGTTGGTTTGCGTGATTGGGATCGAACGGTGCGACCTAGGGGGTCCAAACTCGGTATGGACCATCAGTACACATGTAATTCTGGTGTGAACTACGGAAAAAAAGTTTGGAAAAAATTTAGTGTCCCAAACTACACTGTAAAAAAAAAGTACGAAAAAAGTCCCTTTTTTCGCCCAAATTCGGCCCCGAAAAAGGTAGTAGTTTTTGTTTAATCGTATTTTCCGTAGTTCACACCAAAATGACGTGTTTTTGCCGTGTCCCTGCAAAATTTCATCGAAATCGGTTGAAAATTGCGCCTGGAATCGCGCTAACCAGTTTGAAAAATGGTGTTTCGAGATAATCGCGTTTAAAGTTTTAAGTGGGGGAAAGTTCCCCCACTCCGCCACTTCCCGGGCGCGCTTAAAAATGGGATTTCGGCCGCGCCCCTACCCAGCTCCGGTCGGAACTTATAAAGTAAGGTACTAGGGACCCGAAAATGCAAAAAAAAAAAATCGATTTTTTGAAAGTCGCGAAGTGTACTACCCCCTTAAGGAGCCAAGTAGCCGCCAAGCGCTATCTAGCCACAATGTATTTGCGCTTCCCTATATGATCGACGTGAGGCACTTGGCAAGATGTAGGGAAGTCGATTCCACTCTCCGCTCTAATTTTCCGTAAGTGTGGCTCGTCGGCCATTGGCCGCTGTGGCACTGACTCTGGCACTGCCGTCGCGTCGGCGGGTGCGAAAAGGCGGAAGAGGTGCGCGGTGTGCGGGGGGAGAGAACCCACCCCCTCCCCAACTAGCCAGCCCGCCCGTCTAGACCAGACTAGACCACCCGCATACGGCGTGTTGACGCCGTGCTCCGCCGCCAGCAAGCTGCCCGCGGGTTGGTCGCGCTGTCTCTCTGTCTCGCTCGCACCCCTGCGGACGGCCCGACGGCCCACGAGTGCGAGAGAGACAGAGCGACGAGAGACGCGTGAAAGTCCGCAGCCCTTTCGGCAGGCCGTCAAATCAAATCCCGAGGACCCGAATTAGCGCATTAGCGCAGCCGGGCGCACGAAAACGTGGTTAGAGCCTCTGACCAGTAGTGGCGAGTGAGTAGCGCGGGGCTGCGGGCTGCGGGCTGCGGAGACGCCGCGGGCTGTCACGGCGTCCGCCGTCGCGATTTGGCACTCGGGTGCTGCGGGAAAATTAGCGGTGCTGGCGAGTTGCACAACACAACGCCTTCCCCATGCGCCTCCCCACGTGTTCACGGTGTGCGCTCCGCGGTGACTTCCTCAGTCAAGGGAGAGACCCGCGTCGATACTCCACACACAGGCACCCGCCTGGCCGCGCCTGGGGCATGGAGTTGGAGTATCGCCGCGGCCACTTTTGTTCGTAACTTCGATTAGTTGAGTGGCAAGCTTTCTTGCACGCTCAGTCCTGTGCCTTTCGACACAAAATCATCTTTGCGTTAAATTTAACGATAAATTTTGCCACTGTCAACATGACAGTGGCAACCCCCCACTCTCCCGGGTCGACTGCACTGAGATCATGAAGCGGCACCTGGGCACTTGGAACCGGACTCAGGCCACAATCTGCTCTGCGTTTGAGGTCCATCAAGACCACTCGAGATTTCGGAGGACGACTTTGATACAATTTGTTTCAGCTTATTTGAACGTTGTCTCTTTGCGTTCATTTAGCTATTCAATTTCTAGTGACATTTCACCTTGTGAGGTTGTATTTCCTAATATTTATTTCGTCATCACCTTATCTGCTGAGCGCTTCTCAAATAGCGGCATGACAGTCAATCAAGGCTAGCTCCCAAACAATATCTATTAGTAAAATTTTAAGACATGATCGCAAGAAAAAGAACCTTGTCTATTACGCATAACTAACGCATCTTTTGCCAAAAGAGAATTTGTACATTTTAAAACTAAGTGCGGGGACCCGTTGCGCCCAAACGGTGCGACAGTCGCCCTCCCGCCGGCTACTTTTAATCGTCACATAATGTGAACCACGAAACGAAACTAATTGTCTACAATCATTGGCACGACGCACAAACATGCACAGACAGCACAAAATAGCGTTGTCGTAGCTATCCTGACACATCGTGGCAATGACAGTTCTTTCGGGTTTTTCGATTCGAGGCAACGAGGACATAGCACGTGTGGGGTCTCACTTGGCACGTTGGCACTGTCCTCGGTGAGCTGCTCGGTGCTGTCACCGTGCCGAACCTTGACGTCCACGGCGGTCTCCTTCTTCCAAGTCATGTCTGCGGCTCTGAGGCTCTGCAGCGCGGGGCGGCGTGGCGTCCAAGCGTGGCGTCGGAGCGCGCTCGGCGGTCGTTGGTAGCTGTCGGCTGCTGCAGGCGTCGTCCACCTTTTGAAGCTTCCATGCGGCCTCCCCGGGCCTGCCGGGCCTGCCCCCACCACCGCGGTCAATCGCTGCGGACGCGCGGACGCGCGGACGCCGCGGACGCCCCTACGATAAGTCTAGCGGGGCGGCACGCCGACGACCCCCCCCCCCTCCCCGCTCACCACACTCACTTAGACGCCCACACCCACGGCGCGGCGCGTCCTTTCCACGGTTCTGCCTTCTTCCCCGTCTCCCTCATCCTCTGCCTTCGCTTCCTGATCTCGCCAGCACGTGCGCCCCGCCCGGCCCTGCCCGCTAGCCGGCCCCGCCCCCGCGTCCAATTTTACTCTCGTTCCAGAGTGCCGCCTCAAGATGACCATTAGACATAATGGAAATAAAAGCACTTATGCGAGTGTTGCTCTTTTTTTCGTTCGGAGGTACTCTGGCCTTTGGCGGGACCTCTTTCTTTGTGGTTCAGGCGCGGATCTGGCCGTCCGTCCTAGGGGGGGCAAACATGGTGGGTTGCCTACTTTCAGGGGCCGCCGGACAAAGACAAACACGGCAATGAGGGTTGCCTCAGGGGTTATGGGGGTTCTGGGGGTCTCAGGGGGTTCTGCAGGTGCTTTTTTCAATTTTCAACACACGATTGAATGTATTAAAGGAGTGGTAAATGTAAATTGTGTGCGAGCGAAGCAAGCTCAGAAAATTTGCAGTTTTGGTACTAAACGTGTGCGAGCGAAGCGAGCTCAGAAAATTTGCGGTTCTTAGGGCTTTAAAGGGTGGCAAACGTTATTTGTTTGCGAGCGAAGCGAGCTCAGAAAATTTGCACCTCTTAGGACTTTTTAGAGTGGTAAACGTGTCATTTGTTTAAGCGAAGTGAGCACTGAAAAAATTTGCGGTTCTTACGACTTTCGAGGGTGGTCAGCGTTTGTTTGCGAGCCGAGAAAATTTGCGGTTCTCAGAGTTATTCAGGTTGGTAAAAGTGAATCGTTTGCGAGCGAAGCGAGCTGAGAAAATTTTCAGTTCTTGTCTAGTTCCACTAGTCAATGACAGGGCAAATGCGTGATTTTTTTTTTCAGCATGCCTTAGCTTCTGGGGGGGGCAAAACACCCTTTGCCCCCCCCGTGTATCCGCGCCTGTTGTGGTTCCGAGGCGACACTATCAGTTTTCCTCGAGAGCAATCTCGTTCCCAGGTGGCCAAAAAGAAGGAATGTGGTGATTCACTTACTCTAATTACCAATGTCGTGCTGTAGCTTTTAGGGAAGACATGGCCAGGTTGATTGGTTCCAAATCTCTGCAGGCCCCACCCCTTCCTCAAATTAAACATCGAGCAACGTTTGTGTCGCACCCCGCCCCGCCCCGCCCCGCCCCGCCCGTCCCGGCGCAAAGGGCGCCGCCTCAGGCCTTGCATTCCTGCCATGCTTGGCCGTGCTCCACTTTGCCCTCTGGCACCTCCACACTGACGCCGAATTAGTGGAGATAGCGTCGCAATAAGGATGCAAAGCAATTGAGTAATCTTCCCCTCTTGACAGTGCCCCTCCCCATCCATATCCCCTCCCCTCTCCCCCCCCTAGCCCCTCCCTATTCCCCCCTCTATCCCCCCTTCCCCTGCCCATCCCCACCCCCTCCCTTCCATACATACTCTGCAATCATGACTCCCCCCCCTCTTTTCCCCTCGCGCCCTCCACGAGACACGCCCGATCCATGTTGTGCAATCTAGACATCAGAAACATGACAAGGTAAATGATTAAAAACGAGAATAAACATGAGCACAAATCCAGAGGTCAAAAGTGGCTTAATTTCGGACCGACGTCTCCCTTGCAAACAACATGGCATAGAGCCGCGTCACGTGAGGCGACGAGAAAACAAGCGGCTGTGAGAGCATCCATCGGCCGTCCCCGTCCTGGGCCAGGTCCTGGGCCTACTCTGCGAGGCGCAACACCTCGCCCTGGGCCGGGGACGGCGGTCGCTCCGGCGTGAATTCGACACGGACGTGGAATACTCGTCGGAGCGACCAACACCCTTCGGGGCCGCCCCCCAGCGAGCGCACTCTCCCGTGGCCGGCATTTATTTTCGGCCGGCCCTGGGGGCAGTGGCGCAGTGGCAGTGCACTGCGGGGGGCGTCGTCCTGGAGGCCGTCCCGCTCGTCACCGCGCCCCTCTAGGCCGAGGCCGCGAGGCCCCTCCCTCGACGTGCTGCCGGCATGTTCGCCCCGCGAGGCGCGGAGGCCGTGCCGGGCCGTGCCGCGCGGAGTGAAGCCCGTTGCAGTCCGCGCGGGCCCTTTATACGGTGCGGTGACCGCTGCGCGACCGCGGCGTTCGGCATGCGCGGCGTGCTCGCGGGCGCGGCGGGTCCGAGGTTCGAGTGGCACACCTCGGCCGCCAATGGGTGCACGCTGCCGCCACGCTGAGCTCACCTGAGAGGCCGGGCCAGTGGCGGCGAGCCTATGGCTAACGTCGGAGGACGCCGTGATCCCCTTGTCGCTCGACGCAACGCGGGCCGCGGACGCCCATTGGCGGCGACCCTGACCGCGTCGACGGCGAGCTCGGCCAACCGGGGCCGCCCTCGGTGTTGCCAACGGGGAGGTGCACCAGGGCGGCCCGGGGCGCGGAGCGTGCGGCCAGGCCAAGGGCCAGGCCTCGCGGGAGTGCTGCAGTGTCTTCCGAGCCAGGAACGCGGCTTGCGTGTAGCGGTGTGCCGGCATGCAGCCTGCGGGGTAGGCCAGCCGGCCGGAGCGAGGCACGCGTGCGTTGCGATGGCCTACCCTCCAGGCGCTCCAGCGGAGACGCTTTGGAGTTCGTCGGAGAATGTTTGGCTATGTGTTGTGGAATTGGGGCTCAGGCTCAACCAGCGGCGAGTTGGGACTCGGTGACGCACGGGGGGACGTGCGAAGCACTCTCGCAAGGACTCCACCACTCGTACTTATGCAAATGTCTTTATTCGTCAGACTCAAATTAGTCGTCAGTTCGTCTCGCGCAGAGCAAACCCTTCGCGCTTTTTCGACAGCGTCGGTGGGGATGAATCTTCCATTGATTCACGCTTTCCCACGAAAAGAAGTATCAGTACAAATCGAAACAAAAACCATGAACGTACATCCCTGATAAAAATGAAGTGTTGGAACGAAGTGTTGACGAAGTGGGATAAAGTGCAAAATGGAACTTTAAAGTGTTCACATCCCCTTTGTGGATCCTTGCCAGACTCTTCCCAGACACTTCGACCACTGACTCTTCGGCTGCTCTTCACCAACACTTTATGAACTGTTCACGAAGTGTCGAAGGGGTGAGTGTTAGCAAAGGGTCAGCGTAGGTCCTCCGAAGTGCCAACCAAAGTTGGCATGAAGTGTCCTTAAAGTGTCGCTCAAGTGTTCACTTCATTCCAGTTCGAAAAGAAAGTGACATGTTTACGAGGTGTTCCAAACAACTTGCTACCAGAGCAACGGGCATGCGTATCGACTTGAACCTCGAAACCTCTGAAAAATAAGTGGAATAGGACGGGTACCGAACCCGCGCTTCAGAGTCACCGGCGCAACTGCGCTCACCACTGCGCTAGCAGTTCGTCATGACGTGGGTCGGGCCAACGCGAAACGGTTGGCAGACAACGCCTGATCGGTTCCAATTGGTGGTTGTTCTGCTTTCACGAGATGGCGCTGCAAGCGCTGCTAGGACGGCCGCTCGCGGGGTTTACTCCGCTAGACTGAGCGGTTGGTCGGCTACCCCGGTGTCACCATTTGCACAAGCGGGATGGTGTGACAACGGTCCGCGGCATATTACTAACTACCCGCGTCGTCCGCGGGCTGACCCAAAGTCCTCTCAAGGGTCGCCTTTCCTGCGTTGCGTCATTTGATCACCCACATACTGTCAAATTCCGCCTATCTCATACGTGAAGCGTACAGGGTACCTACGATCACATTACGTTTGAGGACACTTCGTCTACACCCTATGAGCACTTCGGGGCCACTTCCCTGACACTTAACCCCAGCCTTAGTGAACATTTCTTCGACTCTTTCAGGACACTTCAGAGTGAACACTTCACGGTTCCATTTTACACTTCTTGGAAGCTTCACCAACACTTCATTGACACTTCATCAACACTCCATGCGCACTTAAAAAGGGACACTTCCTCGACACTTCATTTTTACCAGGGATTACAATAATATGGCAGGATAATACTCGGCAAAACAAACGGGCAAAGTTTTCTGCCAAGTGCATTCAGTCAGGGGCTCGGGGCTCCGCGTCAGAAGCCCCTAATCAGCCTTTGTGACACTGTCGTGGTCCTCGATGACGAACTGGGCGGCGCGCTCGCCCACCATGATGGCGGGGGCGTTGGGGTTGGCGCTGACGGGCCCGGGCAGCACCGAGGCGTCCGCCACCCTGACGCCGGCCAGGCCGCGCACCCGCAGCCTGGCGTCCACCACCTCGCCCAGGGCGCACGAGGCCACGGGGTGGAAGGCCGAGCCCGCCAGGTGGCGCACGCAGCGCTGCCAGTACGCCGTGGAGCCCGGCGCCACGCCCAGCGCCTCGTCGCCCGGCAGGGGGATGTACCGCAGCGCCAGCCCCGCCTCCTGCAAGCAGAGCAGAGCAGGCTCAGCCTCGAGGCGAAAAGGAAACAGGAAGCGGAAAGAGGATGGTTGGGCTGCCCGCCCGCCAGGCTACGCGGACCCACCTTGAAGCTCTTGGTCTGCGCCATCTGCTCCACCATGCGCGCGCTCTCCACGAGGATGTCCACGTCGCGCTGCTCCGCCAGCAGCCCGGACTCGAACTTGATGGGGTCGGCGGGCTCCGCGGAACGCAGAGACAACCGTCCCGGCTTGGCCGGGTGCACCAGGAACGGCGAGACCACCATGATGTCGGACTCGGCGTTGATGCTCTTGAAGGCCTCCTCGACCTCGGCGGCGAACAAGGCGTTCTGGTACATGCCCTTCGGGTAGCGCACGTAGGTGAACTGCACGCTGGGCACGTCCCAGTCGCGCGTGGACTCGGTGCGCGCGAAGCCCATGAGCTCCATGAGGCCGATGCTGGCTAGCGGGCCGGAGCGATCCTTGAGGAAGGCGGTGAACGGGTCGGCGGTCGCTGGCGCGGGCGGCACCGTGAACACGATGCCGGGGAACATGGCGTGGTCCTGCAGGCCGCGGCCGACGGGGGAGTCCAGGACCACGGGCAGCCCCAGGGCGGTCAGGTCGTCACACGGCCCTACGCCCGACAGCAGCAGCAGCTTGGGGCTCTCCATGGCGCCGGCGCACAGCACCACCTCTTTGGCGACGCGCACCTTGACGGGCGTGCGCTCCGCCCCCACCACGGCCTCCACCGCCTGCACGCGGTTCTTGGCGTCGAAGAGGAGCTTGGTGGCGACGGTGCGCCGCGCCACGTGCAGGTTGGCGGCCGAGCCGTGCGGCGCCGCCTTGCTGAGGAAGGCCTTGGCCGCGCCGCAGCGCAGGCCGTCCCGCTGCGTGCGGGGCACGTCGCCCCAGCCCACCACGCCGGGGCCCGGCCCGCTCTGGTCGGCCACCTCCGCCAGGCCCAGCTCCCCCACCGCGGCGCGGATCACGCCCTTCAGGGGGTCCACCGCGTCGCCCTTGGTGGCCTCGATCGTCATCTCGCCGCCCTCGGCGTGCAGGCCGGACGGCAGGCTCTCCAGGATGCGCATGTCCTCGGACCGCTTGAAGAAGGGCAGCACGTCCTGGAAGCCCCAGCCGTCGATGCCCCAGCCGTCGTAGTCCTTGGGGTGGCCGCGCAGGTAGGGCAGGCCGTTGATGGTGCTGGTGCCGCCCAGAGCGCGGCCCCGGATCATGGTGGCTCCCTTGCCGCGGAGACCCTTTGGGGCACAGAGCAGTGACACTGTAGTAGGCCATCCGCAAGGGAACCGGCAAGGCCCTGCGCCGGGCCGAACATTACCTGGAATGCGTCCTCGCGCGTCTCGGAGCGGTACGACCAGATGAGGCCTTGCTGCCACAGGCGGAACCACAGGCCGGGCACCTCGGCCGCGATGGGCGGGTCGTCGCCGGCCTCCACGACGAGCACCTTCCAGTCGGCGCGGTGCGCGGCGAGGCGGGCCGCCAGCGCCGCCCCCGAGGAGCCCCCGCCCACCACCACGAAGTCGTACGTCGCCTCCCCCTCGAGCAGCGACGGCGCCGCGTCCGCGGGGTACTCGGCCGAGGGCCCCGCCTGCCTGCGGAGCTCCTGCACGAAGCTGGGTGGCAGCGCCATCTGGAAGGTCTGGAAGAGCACGTGAGTGGACAGAAGCTGCCACACTGGAAAAACACGGGCAGGGCAGAGACGTGACGCTGCACTGAAAGTTGATAGAGATTCCCCGAGCAGCGAGGCGCCTGGAAGGTAGGCCGCGCGTCGACGCCACAGTCTAGCGGCCGGGCGGTGGCCTACCCTTCGGGCGGACTTTCTCTGTCTGCCTCTCTCCGCACCGGCCCGACCGGCCCTGCCTCGCTCGCGGTAGCGTCGCAATTTGTTTATCCTTGGGCGTCCGCGTCGCCGCGTGGCTCGCGTGTCTGCCTCGTGTCGGGCAGTCTGGCCAGTCGCACGTCGCGGGCCGACCGGGCCGACCGGGCCGACCGGGCCGACCGGCACGACAAGCCGCAGACTTGCAAGGGTCCCGCCGACCCAGCCGCTCGCTGCTCGCTCGTGAGCGCGTCCAGCATCCAGTGTCGATGGAGACCACCGTCCACTCCGCTACTGCCCCCCTCCTCTTTTGCCCCAGGACCGGGCTCCTGAGTCGATGCGTGTATACCCCGCGGAGTTCAATGATCCGCCGGCGTCGGGCCAGCCAGTGATCCCCGACGTCATCTCGCCCGACCGCGACGTCCCTCCCCCCTCTTTTCCCGTCTCAACTCTCTCCTCCTCTCCTCCTGCCGGGGCCCAGCTCTGCTATCACAGCGGGCGTAAACATAACCTACAAAAGCACTGCGAAGACCGGCTGTCACACTCTGGGGCATTCGTCTTCGAGGCAGTGCGCCGACGTGAACCTCAACCATGCATTTGCCGGTTCGGCGCCGCGGCCGCGCTAAGACCTCACGCGGCGGCATCGTCATCGTCGCACGCAATGACCAACAGGGATTCCGTTTCGAGGACTTACTTGTCGTTCTCCCGGTCGCCCTGTTTATCCTGCCGCACGCTACGTGCGTGTCCGTCGGCCTGCCCTTTGGGAGTTTCTAAAGAACGCACCGAGTGCCGCCGAGTGCCGCCTCCCAGCGGACACGGATTGCGCGTGCGACAACGACAAGCTCTCTAAGCGAGCCGCCCGCCGCAGTTACCTGTTTAAGTAGCGCCGCGACGGAGAAAGTGTTTTTCCAGGATGGGTGCCGGTCGAATGGGAGCAACGCGATAAGATTTAACCTTTTCGCTGCAGTTTTGGAGCCCGACACGCCGTTTCGCTCGTTACCCTTCGTTCTTCCCTCTCCCCTCCACCACCCTCCCCTCCTAAGGCACGCCGGCACGCCGGCACGCCGGCACGGCAAGCTTGAGCAGTTTTATCTCGTTCTCGCCGGGGTGACGGACGATAAGAAGAGGCACGACGTGTCAGTCGAGAGCTCCCTCGGGAAAGACACTATTTTAACGCATCATTCCCCCGCGCGGCAGCATCGAAATTGATCGAAATGTTTGACCGCTGCCCCGTCCATTTCGTCCCGGGGTGTTCCGGGGAACGACACGACCCTTTCGCGCGCTGCAGGATTTCTCATACCACACAGGAAACGCGGCACCTGCAGCCGTGCAGGTGGCACCTGGTGAAAACAAAAGACGGCCAAGCCCGCCGCCGCGGTAGTCCATCGAAGACCCATTCGAATAAACCGTCAGAATACCGTTCTATTTTATTGACTCGCAATTGGAAATGGATGAAATGTTTATTACCCCCGCTAACAAGTTACCTGGTGACTCGATTGCCACCTCTGATTTTGCCAGTAGAAACCGGAGGATCTATGGTAATCCATAAGTATTTTGAATATTGTTATGTTGTGTCTGGTGCCTCTTCAATCATGCTGGTTGTTCCTTGCTGCAGACATTGATTTTCTGGATTATTTGTCAGTACTGAATGAGTTCAACTGCCGATTGTTGAGAGACTGTATGGTGCCTGGGACCTTGCCTTTCCTGGTTATTCCCTCTCCCACCGTCGAGCTTGTCTTTCAACTCTGTAGTGTGTTTCAGTTACCACCAGAGGTGAAATACTTGGCATTGGAAATATTTGACAGGTACTTTACCCTTGTTTTCAAGTATGTGAACTAGTACCTGCCACAATTAGTATTTGTGTGACCTAAATCAACATCTTTTCAACCAATTTCAGGTTCATCTCTCTCCACTACATAGATTTATGGGCTCATACGTATGGGTCTTCTACAGACCGATACACTCAGAAGAAGACATGGTTTCACACAGCATCCCGAGTTAAGAAGCAAACATTACTGAGAATCCTCAGCTCCATCCAAATTGCCTCCAAATTTGTCTTTCAACCATCGGTACCATAGAGACGCTAATATACCCATTGCGTAACTTTTTCTCCTTGTATAATTTTTGTTTTGATTTTTATTGCAGTCAATGTCACTAAAACATGTCCGCCAGTATTTACTGAAGTGGGGTCACCATTATTCTTTAATGAGTATGTACCTATCAGAATTGAGAGTCTTCTCCACACTAGATTGCAAGGTAAATGTCTAGCCGCAGGGAGTAAGGATTCCTTACGTTAATTAGTTGTTAGATTGCTCGTATGTGTAAAGGTGCCTCTCAATACAAATTTCAGGTACCTATGTACTCAATGTATGACTTTACAAAGGCCCTATTGGAAGGATTGCAGTACTGGGCAAATGTTAGCGAGTTGCATTATACCACAGAAAAGGTGCTAGAATTTTCTTTTCTTGAAAGAGATGAGATTTACCACCGTTATTTTCGTATGAGCACAAATCGTTGGGAGCCCATACCTCAGGAGAGGTCTGCTGTTATTTAGATTACCTACAATTATGCAACTAACATTCTTATATTTAACTTTTTTTCTTGTTAACAGATTACAGTTTGCCAACATGCAATTGAATAGGTTCTTGATGGCATCCTCAGTTGTTGTGAGTTCCTTGTACATTCATCACTTAGAGGGCCTTGGTCCTAATAAAGCTAGTGAGATTTTAAGTGAGCTTGGTTGTGTGAACAGCAATGACATCAGAGGTTTAGCCATAATTATAGTTGAATTAATATTGGGCAGCACAATTGTGTCCACAAGCTGTGGTTAGTATAGTACTTTAATCCTTGAGTTCTAGTATTAATTTACTTCAAATCGTCAACTTTGACGACTTCAATAAGTCAAACCAATGTTCATAGGTCAAATAGACAAAAATCAATACATTTTTATTCCATCTCAATAGATTGTGTTTATTTTTTTTTTTAATATCAAAATAAGTCGCACCTTACACTTGAGTACGGCATGAAAGGAAAGTATAAAAAATACAGCCTAGAACTAAGTTACAGTAATGACCTAATAAGACAGAAAATTACTGGACAATACGATAGATATATAAAATAGATACAAGTGCTCATTGGACCATTTTCTACAACATTTCAACAAAAAAATTAGATAAGAAACACATGTAAACTACCTAAAATATCACTGCACTACTAAGAGAGTTGGCAGTTGTTAGTGTATTCTAAAGATACAAGTACCGAAAGATGAAGTCACTCAATGAGCAACACATTCGTATCAAAAACACAAAACCAAATGTGTTGCTCAGTGAGTAAACAAACCAGAACAAGATCAAAAACTTCTTTCTCAGAGGGCTTCTTTTCAAAATTTGGCAAGACACAAGACAAGAAGAGACCTCTAACAAACAAAACAAGATGGTAGAGGAAGCATCTTAAGAGCGCCAGAAATAAAGATAGCAACTTGGATAATTTTGTAACAGCTAATAAATTTCTTACGGAGTAATCAAGTACAAATACATAACAGGTCAACTTGAAGAGGGCAAGAGGTAGATAAGGTACACTGTAAAATATATCTCAGAGGACAGTCTAAGTTTGGCATTTAAGAAGACCACCATATCAATAACATGGGTTCTATAAATTGTTGTATAAAATGGTCCAACCATCATCATTCATACTTTGCTCTCCTGTCCTGAAACATTACGAACCCCACCTCATGAGATCTTCAAATGCAACCAAAACTAAAGATAGACTTGCATTTTAATACTGATCGACTTCAAGAATGAATGATGCTAAGCTATATAAGGTACAGTGCCTATGGCAGAAGGCTCACTGGAAGATGATACTATTTCAAGAGAGACCATTTCATTTATGACAGATGCAGAAATACCAGTTTGTCTTATTGTTATATCATCTTATGAATGTCACAGCACACAAACACACACACATGAGGGAAATCTGAGTTTAGGTAAATATATCAAAATAATACACACAGGACTTATAACGATAAGATGAAACAGACAGAAAAAGATGTCACATGATAGCCTATGACATTGACCAAATATCACATTTAAAAAAAAGCTATCAAATCTAAAGAAAGTGTACAAACAAAAAAAGAAACACTTACTAGTAAGTTTTAAGTAGTAACATTGCTCTTTCAGAATGAGATTTAAGTCAAGAACATAAATACACTAATTTTGCTGAAACCTTTACCACCAACGTAAAGAGTTCCCACGACTTTAACTTAATTTTTGGCTCTAGACCATATTGTGATGAATTACGTATTATACTACCATTACAAACAAAATGCATTCTTATAAAACAAAAATACCAAAAACCAAGTCCTTTACAATAAAAGATTCAAGAAACTTGGTGCTAGGAGAAACATATGAAGAGAGGGTTTTCTTGGATGGCCTAAGAACGAGGAAAACATTGCAATAATCCCAATGCAGAAATCAGGCAAGCACTGAATTAGTATGAATGATTATATGAACTAAGATCACAAAATCAATTAGTGCTTAAGATCACAAGAAGAGTTAAAAACTGTAACTTAATATGACCAATAAAAAAAGTGAACAACCAAAAGCTTTCCTCTTTTTTTTTCCACTTCACATTTTTACCTAATTTTTGAAAGCCCATTTAAAAATTAAAGCTGACTGCACACCTTTGTACTCATGGCAATAAACTTAAATCATTCCAGTAAGTTTAAAACAATTAAAGAGCACATTCTTAACTCAATAGATTTTTTTTAATATCTTACTAGGACAGTAAGATGTGAAAATTAAGAATCACCAGAACCCAAATGGACAAACATACACAAGTGAGATTTCAATTCAGATGAGACTTCATCTTGTATACTGCTAACCTCACGAATGTATATGATAATACAGTAAATGAATAAGTTAGTGATGGTGAAAGAAAATACGGGAGGTGCCTGTTACATGACGCAAGACGTCCAACACATAAAATAAGCTCTTCCAAGTAAATGATGGGTGGCTCCCTAAGTACCATCATTACTACATTTTAAGTACAATTGACTGAATTAAGCAGCCTTCTTTGCATATGAAAGGAATGGAACAAAGCTCATTCCATTCACAAAAGTTTAAAAATTATTTCTCCTCCAACAGAAGAAAGGTGCCATAATTACCAGCATATAAGCAGTCATATTTTTCTCAACTGATCGAACCAGCTACAGGTGGCCCTTCTTGTCACCGTTAAATCGACCCCCTCCACCTCGCTTAACCGCCCGTACCAGTTCCCCCCTTCCCGTGGAAACGGTAGTTTCAAACAAATGCAAGAAGGGCTATCTTTGACTGGCTCAGCAATGTAAGGATGCTGAAAATCTTAATTCAATGAACACCCTCTGATGTCTAATTTTACCCTCCTTTAAAAGTAACACTTGGCTTGTATGTAGATAATTACAGTAAGAAGTGTAATGATTGCACTCACTTCCTGAATAAAAGTAAGATTACAATTTTTAATTCATTATGAAAATTGCAAAAAAAAAAAAAGCATTTAATTTAATTTAAACAAAATATTATGCAGGCATATAGCCTTCCAGAGATTCTATTTTTTGTTTTTCCTCATCAGTTTTGTCACGAGCAATGAAAAGTGTGTGGGTCATACCACATGAAATTTGTTCCACGTAGACGCCATCAAGAGCTTTCACCTCCAGGGGAGTAGTGCTTGATTTGCGCATCTCACCCAATCCCTGTAAACATGTTACAGCCAATATAAAACCATAATTGCAAAAACATTTTAGTGAGTTAACATGATTAACAAAAAAAAACTAGAACTCACCAGCTCTCCTGATGTGGGACTGGAGCCCCAAGCAATGACACTGTCATCTGCAGCACAGACAATACTTGTGTTGGCAACACCAACACATCGTACATTCCAGCCAGTCAAATCTTGGATGGGTTTAGGATACATGTTGGCTTCTCCAGTGCGTTTGTTTTGACCAAACATGTACATCACACCTATAAAGCAAGGTAAAATTAAGGTAAATCAAGGATAACATGCAAGCATATTTCACACATAAACCAATAAATAACATACCAAAATCATTAACAGCAAGGCTGTAGGATGATCCACACCAGACATTACGAACACCTCTATTTTGTGAATCAAAGAACTTGATTAGCCTCGGAACCATCTCATCTCTTTGCTCAGCATGTCCAAGACGTCCAAGTCCTCCGAAACCCCAAGAAAATAGACGCTTACGGGAATCAATAGCACACTAAATTTAAAAAAGGTAAAAAACGACAAATTAATCAAGCCTTTTAAAACTAATCAACTAGTGTATAGAGATATAATTTATGTTGTCCACATACCGTATGATTTGTGCCACAAGAGAAATCCCTTATTTCATCCACATCCACTGGTTTAATCTTGCCATCCTTTGTCCTCTCAATGAAAAACACAATACGCTTAGGAGCCATCTCACAGTGGAAGCCCATCTTTGTACTGGTTACAAAATACTTTCCATCAGTATTGTGACCTTAAAAGATGAAAATTTCGTTAAAAAATGATGTACCTACTGAAAAAAAAAATTATATACTTACTTTCATTACTCACCAAGTTGACCATATTCTGGCAGACCAAAAGAGTGCATTGCACCCTTACAATCCAAAATAATGCTGAATTCAGCACCACAACCAACCTTCACAATTGGTGCACCTTTGTAGTTAATCTGGATGATAAAAACTTAATAGAGTAACAATTTCCCAAAAAAAAGCTTATTTCTCTCACAACACTGAAAGCGCACTCACAGGAGTTGCAGTAGGGACAGTGGCTTGAGAGGAGTTTTTCACACCACATTGACCGTTTTTGTTGTCACCCATGGAGAACACCTCACCACGCACTGTAAAAGAAAATTACCCAAAGAAATGAGTGAAAACTCTGTATCTGTATGACAAAGGTTGTGTATGATCAACCTACCCGATACAAGGAGAGTGTGGTTCCTACCACAAGCTGCTCCAACAATGACCTCATCCTTGACGGCGTCAATAATCAATGGGATGTCTCGGCGGACTTCATCTCCATGGCCTAGCTGACCTTTCTCATTACGTCCTAAAATAAAATTTTTAAAATGTGTTACAGCAAACCATTATTTGTAGGAAAAATGTTGACCATCTCTCAAATCAAATTACCAAAACTATAGGCTTTCCCTTCTTCTGTAATGACAATGCTGTGAGCAGCTGTGGGCCCTGATGCAACCAGTCGCACTCGAATGTTGGCAAATGGGAGGAATCGATGAGGGGACCACAGGTTTGGCCCGGAATTCTTGCCTCCCTTTGGAGCAGTTTTGCGACCTGCTGCATCCCAGTTTGTTCCTCCACAAATGAGGACTACTCCGGTTCCTTCAGATGTGAGGACTTTCTAAAGAAACACAAAGTCAAAACAGCAATATAAGGGAATGATCAGAACAAGAACACAAGAATTAGGGTTTAGTGATGACACAGATGGTATTTCATGACATGAGACAAAAATTGAACGCAAAAATGATCTTTTGTCTCTCCACCAATGAAAGCCATTGAAAAGAAGGGGGAGGGGAGGGGGGAAGGGGTTCTTCACACAACTGAGTGTCATAGGCAAGAAGTTGACAACCCGGTGCGCTCTGACTGGCGATCAACTGACGCCGAGTTGCTGAAGATGGTCCACATGCCGAAAGACACCGACTAATTCAGAACAATGCTAAGCTACACGGTAGACGCTCGCGGGGGCAGCCTGGGCAGCCGGCAGATGGCCTGACGGGGAGAAAGCTAACCTCCAACGGGGGTAGCGTCGCGTCATGATTCATCAATGACAAACAGTGGAGTAGGTCGTTAAACAACTCACCCCCTTCTCCTTCTCGGGTATTTCGACCGGGACCGATGGAAGTTCGTCCTCCTTCTCGGTGTCACTTTTGTCTTCCTCGTCTTCGGCTTCGGCATCACTAGCAACGCCGTTCTCATCGTCAGAGTCTTTGGCCTTTTTCTTTTTCCCACCGTTACTTTCCGACTTTAAGGCCTTTGGGGCACTTGCAGACTCGACAGCATCTTCAACTTCATCAATTTCACGCTTCGCCGACATCGTAACACAGATTAATTTGAATTTGAAAGAATCTACGGACAAAGTATATCAATATCCACTATCACCACAGTGAACTTTTTTCGTACCGCTTTGTTTAATGTCACCTTTTTAAAAACGTCATTACCAACCATGAAAAGATTAAAAAATCTGAATCTGGTCTAGCTGTGCACCGCAGAGACGTAGAAAATAAACGAGACTAATTTTCGCCGCCTCAATAGTTATTTTTCTTTTGAATATTTGGGTACGTGCACGACTTTAATAATATGGAAGTTGGGCGACAATAATGCGAGAACTAGAAGTACACAAAGCACCGGAAACAGGGCAGCCTGTGAGCTGATGCGCGCGTTTTTGAACTTGAAGTTTGAGTAGTGTTCCCTTCATTCATGCCCGTCTTTATGAAACATTTAAGGCTCCCTCGACCAAAAAAGAAATCTACTCTCATTTCCAACTAATGAGAACAGAAAAATCTCCAAGAAATTATGGAAGTTACAATTTTTGTCTACAAGAAAAGATGACATTCTCCGGGAGGACGAGAACATATCATTAGTATTCATGAGCACTAAACCCAAATGGCTTTAACTCAAGTACATGCTGCAATGTGCGGGGGCTCGACTTGGCCTGATCGGCACTTTGAGGGCACGACCTCAGTGGCCCCCGGGGGGGGGGGGGGGGGCACTGTTAGCGCATCGGCTGCCTGCGATTCCCCGTTCCTGCTGATGTGACAAAACTGCAACCGGGCAATCAGTCCATTTCATCTTCTCTCGTGCTCCGTACTCCACGGACTCTAGGCGGACGACGTGGACGACGTGGTGCTTGCCACGGAGCCGCGGCAGCCCTTCCCCGCTAGAGCTCCAGGGCGACCGGCTGTGTTGGTGCGTCGAGCGTGACGGTGAGTAGTCGCCCGTCGGCCTTCTCACCCTGGCCGAGCCCGAGAAGAGCAACGGCCAGGTCCTTGCTGAGTCGAGTCTCCCCAGGCATAGATAGACAGTGTGTTGGCGCTCGCCGGCTCCCTCCGCCGCGCCGCCGAGCGTGCGGGCCTGTCCACGTGTTGGCAAAAACACGGTCGCACCTCGCACCGTCGAAGGGAAGTCCACGCAGGGGTGGTTGGTCCTTCGTTCATTAAAGAATAGACTTCATCAGAGTGACCCATGCACTGTACACATCTCCCTCTGTCCGTACAGTAGAAGCAGGCCCGGGAGACTGCTGCAGAATCAACCTGCCCCAACAGTGGAGGAGAGAGGGGGACTCCAGCGGTGTGAGCGTCAACGAACAACCCCTGCGATCATGTCGGTCTCCGGGAAGGCCGCGGTGCTGCTGCTGCTGGTGGTGGCCGCTGCCGTCCACGTCCACGGCCAGCAGGGTGGCGGCCAGCGCGGCAAGACGGTCAAGAAGCAGCTCAAGATGGAGCCCGAGCCCGACGAGCCGGAGGTGCAGCTGTCGCTGGGCTGGCTGAACGGCCGCTGGGTGCAGACCCAGAGCGGCAAGAGGGTGGCCGCCTTCACCGCCGTGCCCTTCGCCCAGCCGCCCGTCGGCGAGCTCCGGTTCAAGGTGAGGCCACGGCCTGGCCACGGCCACCTCGCTACCGATCCCACCCTTGTCGACGACTCTTTGAACGGGTGCGTCATTGTCGCCTACACTTGCAGGCCCCTGTCGCCGTGGAGCCTTGGGACGGCGCGCGGGAGTCGCCGCCGCTGCAGCAGGTGCCGGTGTGCATGCAGCACGAGGACACCGTCACCACGCAGGGGCTGCCGCGCTCCGAGGACTGCCTCTACCTCAACGTCTTCACGCCCAGCGTGAGCATCCCCGCTAGAGCCATGAGTTGCTCTGCCAGTCGGCTGTCAACAAACTGTCTCTGTCGCAGCCCGTCAACGGCAGCAACCTGCCCGTGCTCGTGTGGCTGTACGGCGGGGGCTTCGTGGAGGGCGGCGCGTCTGTGTACGGCCCCGAGTACCTGCTGGACGGCGGCGGCGCCCGGGACTTGGTGCTCGTCACGCTCAACTACCGCGTGGGCGCGCTCGGCTTCCTGAGCACGGGGGACGCGGCCAGCACCGGCAACTGGGGGCTCAAGGACCAGCAGCTGGCGCTGCGCTGGGTCCGGCAACACATCGCTGCCTTCGGCGGCGACCCCGAGCGCGTCACCCTCATCGGCCATTCCGCGGGCGCCGTGAGCACGCACCTGCACCTCATGGCGTTCTCCAACAGGGGTGAGTGACACTCCGCGACGGCGACGTTCTTCCAGGGCATCCGCATCCACAGCCAGGTCACAGCTTTGTCCCGGCCGCCAGGTCTGTTCCAGCGCGCGGTGTCCCTTGCCGGCAGCGCGCTCACCCTGGGACTTCCCCAGACGGCGGGCACGGCGCGGCGCCACGCAGAGAAGCTGGCCACGCTGGTGGGCTGCCCGACGACGGCCTCCGCCGAGATGGTGGCCTGCCTGCGCGGCAAGTCCGCCGCGGAGCTGGTGGCCCACGAGGCCGACCTCAAGAACGACGGGCTGTGCCCCATCGTCACCTGGGGCCCTGTCGTCGAGGACTTCGCCGACGCGTCGGACCCGCTGAACCCGCCCTTCCTGGAGCAGCACCCCGTCGACGTGATGGCCAGCGGCCTGTCCCTGGACGTGCCCTGGGTGGCGGGGCTCAACCTCAACGACGGTGGATTCTGGGCCGGTCAGTGTGACGGGGACGGGTGTCTTTGTCTTTCGCCAGTGTGCGTCGATTCCCCAGCTACCCCCAGCCCGTCGGGTGTTGTATCAATGCACAAAAACGATTGTTTTTGTCCTTTTTGCAGCTGCGATCAAAGCATCCAAACAGTTGGAGGCGTTCGACGCCAACCTGGACACTCTGGCACCCGTGTGCTTCGGCTTCAACGAGACGGCCAGCCCGGAGGACCTGCCCGAAGTCATGCAGGAGATCCGCGAGTTCTACTTCGGCAGCAACAACATTTCGCAAGAGAACATCAACGACCTAGCTAATGTAGGCCGTGCCGCGTCATGCCGGGTCATGCCCTGGTCTGGCCAGCAGCAGCCAGGGGGCCTCTGTCAGCGTCAGCCGCAAGTCTACTGTCGTTTTGTTTTTGCCCCCAGCTCTTCACTGACGGCGTCGTGCTCTCGAGCCTGGACGAGGCGATGCGCCTGCACGCCGCCTACTCCACTGCCCCCGGCTACCTGTACCTGCTGAGCCATCGCGGCCAGCGCAGCCTCACGGACCTCTACGGTGGGCAGGGTCAGGGCCGCGGCGGCACCAGCGACCTGGGTGTGGTGCACGGCGACGAGCTGCTGCACCTGTTCCCGATGGCCAGCATCCTGCCCAAGGGCTCTAGCCAGGACGACCCGGACGACCGCAAGGCCTCAGAGCAGTTCATCGACCTCCTCGTCAACTTCGCCAGAACCGGGTGAGTTGTTCTCATCGGAGTAGTGGAGGTGGAGGCGTGCTGCGCAAGTGCTGCGTGCCCCCTCGGACGCCAATGAGGCGTAATGCTGCTCTTGCTGTCCCTCAGGTCCCCGACGCCGCCCGGCGACACGCGGTACCCCTTCCCGTGGAAACCGGCCGAGAACGACGACCTGGAGTTCATAGAGATCGGCCAAAAGGGCCGCCTCTTCAAGGGCGCCGGACTCCTCGGGAACCGAGCCCACTTCTGGGCAGCACTACCTCTGTCAGAAAGGAATGTGAAAAATATGCAGGCCTCAAGCTTTTCCAAGGGCCATGATGAGTTTTAATTATTCAATATCATGACGATGTAAACTTGTGCCAAGTTTCGACAAATTTGGGTTGGTATTTTATTGAGCCACGTATTACTCTACTATCGATGCCATTGCACAATGAGTGACATTGTGCGTTTTGAAGTTGGCATGACATTTACAGACCATCTGAAACCTGAGTACACCATGTGAAATAAAAACTTTAAAACGATGGAATTGTAATATTTTATTATTGCCCAGATTGGAGAAAATACCGAGTAATCTGCATTTAATTGTTACCATTGAAATACATGGCCAGGCAGAAAAAATTCTGAGTTCGATACAGTTTGGTCTTAAACTAAAACTATAAGCTACACTGGTTATCTGATTATGTCACACTCTAGTAATAGGCAAGCATACAAATTAAAGTTAAGTGTTAACTAACTCAATAGACAATCACAACCTTACAGAATCATGTTTGGAAATTCTGCAAATACAGAATCAGAAATCAGGATTGGTCTGCATGTTGCAGCAAGAGAAATGGAAAAGATTCAACTGAGATAACACCACAGCAGAAATGGCTTTTGCTTTCAGATGAATGGAAAGGCATAGTGGATGATTTGTATGAATTGTGTGGAGGTGATATTTGATTACAATTGCAGACATTCACGCAACACATGGTAATTGTTTTTTTTTTTTTTGAGCAATTAAATCGCACTTTGTTACCCTTTCCAAACTGTACAACAATGACCTTTCTACGCTCACAAATGAAAGCAATTGTAAACTTGCGTCAAAGCAGCGAGGATACAAGCAAGCTACTTACTTACAATATGACACATGCAATATTGGTGCCATGAATTTCATCACTTAAAGCCTCACCCTCACACCTCCCGTACACCATTCATGTCATGAAAATAGGTTCTGCCTACAAGAATAAACTAAAGTACATGACAAAAGCACATCGCTTTTAAAGGGTGGCTTCCATAAATGATGTGGTTTATGTGTTTTTAAAATGCCTCACTTTAAAATAACAGGCAATTTAATAGGATTTTACAGTAATAAAATTGATAGGAAAAACATATTTAATACAACACCTCATAACAACTTTTCAAGAAAATGGTAATGCTGATTAATGTTACTTGTTATATCTTACACTCTAAAAACTGTCCTACATGGTGTGCATGTTCTTACATAGTCGTACACATAATATTGCTTACAAAAATCACCAGTTTTGTTGTATTACAATTAAAATGAAATTTTTATGTGCACTAATACACAAAGAAATTGAACTGTGATGGGTATAGATTAATAAACCCTGTCAAATGCCGACTGGCCTTCAGTCAGCCATAAGTTTCCTCACTCTTTGTACAAACTGGCAGAGTCAAAAATTGGATGTAAAAAAATCAAGCTTAAATTGGATATTCTCCTTGATTTTACAAGGAGAAAAACAGTTCCAATAACATTTGCAATATAAGTTACTTTATACCTGTACATTATACCTACCAACCAGCTTTTTCTCCAACTTGGCAGTGAGAACAGAAACACTTCATAGAGTACTCCATGCGGCGCTGCAAATTCATTGTCATCAGGCCCACACTAGGTACATCCATATAAACGACTCATTATGATGACCAATCCATCTGGACATTATGCCAAACTGATCATCAAACATAGATTAGAAGAAAGAAGAAAAAAAAAGTCAGCAGAGAAAAACAGAGGAGGGGAGAGAGCCAAGTTAACAAGTTCAAAATTACTAGCTGCCTTAAGAACCAGTTTCTAAAAGCAGTTGTGACATAAAAACAAAAACAAAACAAAAAACATGTCAAACTGATGATCTAAAAAAGTCAAAAAACAATGTAATAAAATCTTTTTATAGGTACTGTTTTTGTCTTTCCTATTTTAGTGCGATTAGGGGCACAACTTACAAACCGATCAATCATACCTATCCCACACTTTAAAGCACTACATTATCAAGCACAATTCACCAAAGTGAACTTATAAAATATGCTACATTCCTACCATCCTTTCATCCCAAACCAATCAGCTATAAATACCACTGACTCAAAAATAAATTACAGATTTTATATTCATTTTGAAAATATAATAAATTAGGAAAGAAATTTCAAATGTACTTTCACAAAGAGAAAAAAAACAACCAAAAAAACAATACAATTTATGCATTGTGCAAATGCATACCTGATCGAAGAAACAAAAATTACATCACAGAACTGTTACAGATAAGAGGTATTGCTACTTTGACAATCATATACGGTAATCACTTCGCTACAACAGGCGCAAAGCCCTTGCAAATTTCTAACAATAACAAAGTTGTGTTGCTATCACAAGCACTTCTTTCATTTGCAGACCCTAATTTGAAAATGAGTTGAGTTCGTTTATTCCACAGTTATTGAAAATATTTAAGGGCCGGGGGGGAACAAGGTTTTGTTGATAAACGGCAACGTAAATTAAAGCCAAACAATAGGAAGTTTTGATGTTTAGCTCCTCTATCACCACGGTCACCCATCACATCATACAGCACTCCAGAAATTATGATAAGTCAACACTTCATACACCATAATTTTCTATCTGTAATGTGTCAGAAAGTTTCACAATACATAATCTACCCTGTTATATGTCTATCCAGTTTCACAAAATAAATCAGGAGAAGAATGTTGTAGCATACAGCAGTATCACTACTAATAACAGACCAATCTCACAATTTGTCTAGAATCTGCACTTTCAACAAGCAGTCTTCACCATAAAATATTCTCTACATTAACAAGTTCCAAGATCTTCATTGATGAAAGAAAATTTTAAGGGCAGTTCTCAAATAAAACATTATATGATTTGAAAAGATAAGGTAGCATGAAACACATCAAATAAATTAATTCAAGTTGCAAGAGATTTACCTAGGAAAATATACGAATGGGCCTCTAGTTTTTGTGCAACAAGGATCAGAACAAATTTGCAACTCATCATATAGAATGCATAGACAAGAAGAATAATAGAACAGTTCTGTGACAGAAACATATGTCCAAAGCAACACAAAATATTAAGAAAATTTCAAGAGAAATAAGTAAAACATAACAACATATGAATAAAGGTATCTACAAGCCATTTAAAAAAAAATGTCTGTTCTGTGAGTATATAAAAACATAAGTATATACACATAGACAGACAGACACATAATCACACATGCTCATGTACGTCAATGTAGAAGTAACAGCCAAAATGATGACACTGTACTGCAACATTTGATAATATATAATTCAAAAATTTTACACACCGCATGATTTCACTTAAGTCAATATCACAATAACTTTATGTCAGGTCATCATCATAACTTGTGATGAGTGTGACATCTGGCCGGGAAGATCTGAACATTTCAGCACCATGGTGAGTAATTTGAGTTCCTTTAAGGTCTAGGTAGCGCAAACTCTGAGCAAAGTGAAGTTCATTAAGGGTAGAGTCAGTTACAAGGTTGAAATTTCTTGCAACTAGGGTATGGAGTTTGCACAGAGACACCTGTAACATGCAATCAAAATATCATGCATTATTCAATCAATCCAAAAAAGAAGAGTTACAGAGGCCAATCAAATACTTTACCCTGTCTTTCACAGGAGCCATGACGTGTATTTCATCACTGATAATGCCAAACTGAGCATTATTGAAAAGGACATGAGGTTTATCTGATATGACAAGAGACCTCAATCCCAAGTCGCTGATGATCCCGGGGAGATGACATGCTCGTGGCCCTCCAGGTTCACCATTTTCATTGCTAATACCATTACTGTTGGGATACTCTAGATAAAGGTGAGTGAGGCGATTGAAACGATTCAGACAAGATAATTCACTATCAGAAACTCCAGTTCTTCGTAAGTCTAAAACCTGTGAGAAATTCAAAATACAGATTTGAAAAAAAAACTGCTTCACGTATGGTAGATAAATCAAAAGGAGAATTTCAGAAACAGTGTACCTTCAGTTTCTGAAATCCATAGTTGAATGCCAAGCTCGCATATGCAATACAGTCTCTGATTAAATAGCAGCCATCCAAATGGAGCTCCTCTAAGTATGGAAGCTTACTAAGTGCCATTATAGAATGAGAAGGAAGCCATGTGCAGTCTGAGAGCTCCAGAATCTGAAAGAGAAAAAGACAAAAGGTTCACTTTAAAACTTAACAGATCATTAGAGATAGTCACAAAAAACATAAGGGCAGATGATAAGAAGTATATACCTTCAAATGTGGCAAATGGCTTATGATACTGTTGAAGTAAGATGAATCTGTTGGTGGGTTCACAATTTCACAACCTTTCAGTGACAGATGTTCAATTGATGGAGGAAAAGCCGAAATTTTCACCTGAGAAGAGAGAAAATAATAGAAACTTAATGTTTTTGCTGAGGAGATACATTTTGTCAGACTCGACAAATCCATTTTGGTCAAAATCATTATTTGATTGTCTTATTGATGAGGAACTTTAACAACAATATTACAAGGTTATGCAGTACCTTCTTAGCATCAATACAGTGTTCTTCTGCAACAAACGAGCGAAGCTCAGGGCACTCAGAGGCAAACGAAGAAAGAAGCTCGCCAGATAAGCATTCTGTTCTCCATCGTGGCTGAGGCTTGCTTGCAACGAATCCTCTAGTTGCTATTCTTTCTGTTGTATTGCTTAAAAAGGGCAAAAAACGCTCCAGCTGCCTTTCAAGCAGGCAGTGAGGCCTGAAATCTACTTCAATCCATAAGCTCCAGTCACTAACAACTCGGTTCAGACGTTGACAGCATCTAGAAAGCCACAAAACCATCACATATTCACACCAACCAGAACAAAGGTGACAACTAAATTAAATAAGGTAAAATACTCACGAGCTGAGATTCAATAAATCTGAAGGTTTGAGATTAGACATAATAATAAGCAAAACATCATCAGAGAGGTTCATAAGCTCAACTGGAGCAGAAGATTCATCGTCTGCATCCTGATTGTTTGCCTGTTTGTCTGCTGCACACGTTTCACTTTGCTCAAGATCATTACGAGAAACTTCGAATCCATATAAATATGGGATGTAATCTTTGGAACACCCTGGCACAGGCTCTGGATGAAAACTTGCAGAAGTTTTACTTGAAGTTCTGCAGACTTCATCGTCCTCTGGTCCACCAGATGGAGAAGTGCTATCAGTTGGGCTGGATATTCTTGCAACTTTCAAAGGTCTTGGATCTTCATCATCTGAGGCACAGCTCCGCTTTAAGCCACGCATGTCATCAGAGTTTGAAGACGGGCTAGGAGCAGAGTCAGACAAGTTTAAGCCTTTGGACTCCTCAGAATCTACTGATTCAACAGAATCTGCTGATCCCTCCTTCATCCTGAAAAATAAAACATTCCTCACGGTGAAATAATGAAAAACACGCGGTGGAAGGAGCACAAGAGCCTACAGTAATATGTTGAGGTGGAGAATGCCAAGTAAACAACATTAAGAGGACATAACTTCTGAAGGAAGATGTAGGTTAGTTTCTTGACGAACAAATGCATTTTGTAGTTCGTGAGCTCGGTCGATAGTATAGAGCGGGCTCTGATAGTTGACTGAAGTTAGAAAAGATTACCTTGAGAGGAAACCGAAGTTTGCTGATCCAATATGAGTTTCGCTTAGGGGTACATAGGTACATATAGCAACTTTGTTACCTCGGCCTGCCTGACAGCCAACCTGATTTATTCCATATGATAACAAAACAACAACAGCGACAGAATCAAGTTTATTGATGTTGTTTATAAAGGCTTTGAAGGAAGAGTATAGTTCCAAGTGAAAGCTGAAAATCCATGTTTCAGTTCCCCATGTTTGCGTCGTAAGAACTCTAGCTCAAGGAAAGGCCCAGTAGATCACTAATCTTTTATCAAAATTTCTTTACAATTCGTTTTGAAATGATTGGATATTTTTGGGTAGTTGGGATGGCAGCCATGTTTAAAAGATCGTTCTGCATTAAGAACTTCTCATATTCTATTTGCTGTTAGCCTCGCTCCACTCCTCTCTACGCGAACCTCGATTCGTTCCCATGAGCTCTCGCTGTGCTTGCTGCTGATTCAGTCACTGTTTTGCTGTTTTTGTAGGGTCTCCCTGTCTCTTCGTTCAATTCTAACTTTTTTAGTAAATCGTGCTGCACGGTTCACGGTTTGCTTCTGTATCTAGTGCATTCTGCGATTTTCTTTGTAAAGGGCCGAATTATTTTCGGAACCCCTTAACCACTGAAGTGTGCGCTAAAAGGTATGCCCGTACGTTGGTTTTGTTGACTGATGTCTCTCAGATAAAGTCGACCATTAGTTCTGAACGTTTCTCTTCCATAGCTGTTATGACTGTAAAATTAGCTCTTATAAATTTCCATAACTATTTTCCCCGAGGTATAGGCAGTTTTAATGTGTGGGGTTATGTTTGTTTCATGTTCAACAGCTTATACAGTCCTTCTGATCCTACTTGTTGTAATCGTACCTATTTGTTTTTTCCTTTCTAGAATGAATCACTCCAGTCCATTAAATGAAAATCCAGATCCAAACCAAGCAAGCCAGTGTGTAAAGGTATTCGTTCAACGAGATTATAGTGATGGCACTATGATCAAATTTCAGAATCGGTTTCCAGCCGAACTGGAGGACAAGGTGTGCATGAAACTTATTTTAACCATTTTTTGTCTTTGTTTGTATGCGTATGTGGGTTTACAGTCCATCTAATATTAATAAATGTAATTTCTGTTGTTCCAGATTGAGCGGCAAGCATTTGAATACACAATCAATCAGATGAACGCATATTTTATGGAAGCAGAGGAAGCTTCTTGTGGTACCTATTGTGAAGGATGTATAGCATGTCTCACAGCATATCTTATGTACATGTGTGTTCAAACACACTTTGAGAAGGTCTGTCTTCTGTTTTGAAAATATTGCTTGATTTGCAATGAAATTATCTTGACATAGCAGCTTTCTTTTTGCAGTGCTTACGAAAAATTGCAAAATTTGTGGTGGAACAGAATGAAAGAGTATATCAGCCTCGTGGCCTTCTCCTCACAAACCCTGTTGATAGAGGATTGAGAGTTGTATCCTTTCAAGCATCTCAACTGTTACTTTTATACATGTGAATAGATACTTGTGAAATGTTATTTAACCTTAACTCTTTCTTTAGATTGAAATTACAATATTGGATCAGGCTGTGGTACCAAGAACATGACTATCATCTTCAGTTTCTAGGGAAGAATTCTTCATGTAAGCGCTTAAAGGTAAACCCATCTACCATACCATCGGTTATTCTGAAACTGTCCTGGTTTCCTCCTTAAATACCTCCATACTTGAATATTGACAATGCCTTTTTTTCATGTTACAAAAAATATAAAAATATTGCGTTTTTTTTGGTTTTTTTTTTAACTTTTAATATTAAGAACATTTGATTACTCTCAATGAGAGGATGCTCCAGTCTTCAGTTAGTTTATTAATGCTTCTTGGTGGCCTCTCCATTCTAAGTTATGCTTCCCATTATTTTCTTTGTGCATACCACTTTAAAATATGATTTTATTTGTAATGTTTAGACCTATTGAAAGTGGAATTCAATAATTTAAGTCAAGGGGCGCCTCTGTCATTGTTTCTGTGCTTTACCTTGACATTATTCCTTTGTAAGTTTATAACGGGTAACATTGTGCATTACTATACATTCTTAAATGTTTTGTGTGTTGCCCCTCTTTCTCTTAATAACTAAGTGAATATTGCCATAGCTATCTCCAGAGGGATAATTCTTCATCAACCTTGGAGTTCAGATGGTAGTACATGAGACTCAAAATAACGTGTCTTTGATTGTGAAGTTGTTTTGTATATTTTTTTATTTGACATGCTAACTATTTATTTTAGAGTAACTTGTTCACTCTTTAAACCTGAATGTTGTGCAATGTCTTTGATTCATCCTGTGAAAGTGTTGACCTCTGTTAAGATATTGACATCAGTTATTATGCATTGACTGAATGACATTTGAGGCAACCATAGTAATGTGTTGTTTAGGATTTGTAGTAGAACTAGTAGGTGGAAGGATGGTTTATGAGTTCTGTTATTGTTTATATTGTATTGTACTGTTTTAAATTCATAGTATATTTATGTTTTCATTTACAATAGTAGCCCTGCCATTTTGCAAAGACTTACTACTAATGTTATCGTGTGCTAACTGTGTCCAAAGCCAAGAACACTTAATCCTCTCTAAAAGTGCTAAACATCTCTATAAGTCGTTAATATGAAATTACCTATTGTAGGGGTTCATTTGGTCCCCCCCCCTCTTCCCCCCAATTGTCTTTTTAACCAATTTAATGGAAGACTTGTACCTCATCCTTAGAGCATTTCCAAAATTCTGACTTGTGAGAATACAGTCTGGCATCAATGAGGACATAATCATGAACAACACATTACATCTCACTTCCATAGAAGTTGAACAATATTAACTGCATCATGAAGTTCAAGAAAATTGAAAACATCACATAAAAACATTAAGTCAATTTGTTTCATACTCTGATGTCTTCATCATGCCTAATAGTGTACCTCTACAAATAGGATCCTGGCTTTTGCCTTGAAATTATTTGCTTGTTTTGTACTGCGTGTTGTGCAATATGGGAGTGATTTACAGATGAATTGCTTTTGATTGAAAGCTTAAGTACCTGATTTAGAAGAAAAAAATGTTGCTCATTATGAGTTTGCTGTATTTCAGAAACTGCACTGTCTGAGAACAACAGTTGATCAATTTAATTTTCAAGCTCATTTAAGTCTTCATTGGTCTATCATTGTCATTAAAACTGATAGAAAACATTGTTTCACCATCAGACATTGATAAATGTGGATGCAATTACTCTTTTAATCAGAAATGGTAAATAAATAACATGCTTAAATTTTAACCAACTTCTTTAAATGTCGACCCACTTTCCCCCTTTTCCTGTGATTCAAATGCCCATCTCTTTCAGAAGGGAAAAAAGAGAAAAGATTCTTAAGACCTTAAAATTATATTTTTAATTTATTTAACCTTTGGGCTGAGGATAACAATAGTGGTGTTCTTAATTTCACTAAGTTTGTCCCTTTTTCTTCTGCTGTGCAATTTCCTGTTCATATTCTATTACCTTTCCAGGGAGACAATCACCCCATTTGGTGTGCTTGGCACATTTATAGGCATTGCTGTAAAGGAATGAAAATAATGATGAATTCTTTGAGACCAACAGAGAGTAGACAATTTGAATCTACCTGCAATTATATGCCTTCTGAATAAGGACATTCTCCAATGTTCCTTCTGCAGTGCACAGCCTCAGGTGAATATGTTTGTTCCGTATTAATGTCTCTCTCACACATCGAGGCCACTGCGAATCATCCTTGGGCCTCGGACCTGTAATGATTTGTTCAAAATTATGAAAACATCTCTTCAGCTATTAAGAGAAGAGGAATTTTATGTTTTTCCTACCCTTTTTAAGTACAATATATGAATAGAGATGTTTCATCCGATCCTGTTTATTGTTAAGAAACCTTGGAGGTAGGTAAGAAACCTCAAAATTACATGGAGTGAGGTCATGAACAAAGCGAGGACATACTAGCTCATGCATACACTGAAACCAAATTAAATTATTTGATCATTCTTATCATCATTATTGCATATGTACTTTCTAATGAAAGATCATAGGAAAAATACCCTTAACTAAACTTACTGGTGCAACCACATGGGCGCCTACTCCTTTGGAACTCTTGTTACTTTCCATGTGAGTTATAAGGTTTCTAGCTTCAATAACAGCCTATTAAAATTGATTTTAAAAACACAATCACTAAAACTTTGAACAGAAAAATCAGCGAGTTCTAGAAGCTTAGCAAAATGTTACTAACTTGATAGCCTGCATTGGTTCCATCTTCCACAATAACAAGATAGTTTTCAGTCTTCGCCCATAAAGTTGATACTGCCTCCATTCGATCTTTAAAAGAGGGGAGCTCCAAGAGGGTGAATGAACTCAACGTAATGTCATATGTACGCTGTAAAGTATACATTTCTTGTTCAGTTTCTGGCTAGTAAGTACATGTAAACAATTGAAGAAATGATTTAACAATTGACTAACATCTGAAGATACCGGAAGAAACTGCCTGAAATATACACCATCCTTGGGTGAAAACGATGTGTTTGTCATCTGCAGTATTTTACTAGCCAATTCATTCATATTTACATTGGTGTCAACATTATAAATTTCCTTCAGAGAGTTTTGCCAAACTTCCTTTGCAGCCCTGAAATAATAAACATTGGTATAGTAATGGGTCAGACAAGCTTCAGTTTAAGGATTACATTTTTGCTTACCAATATCCTGAGCCAACACCAGATCCAAAATCAAACAAGGTACTAGGCGTAAACTCTGGATTAGACAGCTGTATCTGATGGAAAATTTTGTGAAGAACACAATATTCAGCAGCAGTTCGAGAAACAAAATAATGAAGACAGGTTTCTTCTGAAACACCCAGGGGATGCCAAGGATGGATCACGTCTTGTAAGCGCCTAATGGTAACTTTTTCCTGAACCTTACTAGCCGCCTCTTCATTTAAATCCAAGTCCATTTCTTTGTTTATAGAAAAAGGGATAAAACTGATTAGAAAAATACTCAATAAATACTTCCACAAACCCAATTTTTTGACAAACCCACCCTGCAAAGTTGCCTGTACTTTTTCTTTTTGTGCTCGAATCTTCTCTATGTAGTCACGTTTTTCTGGGGGCATGAGCCTACCCCAGAGTCTTGCACGCATCTCATCTGCTTGTTTGGATAGTTGAGACTTCTTCTGCTCTAGAATCCAAATAATATTGAATAAACAATGTTATCATAACAAGAAGAATCCTTAAATTAAAAAGTAATAAGGTGGAGCATTCTTACTCTCGGTCAAAATTTCCATGGCATTCACGACTTTTTCAGGGAGTTCATCAACTTTTTTCTTACACACTCCTGGATGATTTCTGGGATGAAATAGTCCATTTGTAATGGCAGAGCTGACTTTAGGGTCCAGCTCCAAGACTTTCTTTGCTTTAAATCCCCTCTCGTCAAGAGCATCTTGAGGAAATGCTTGAGAATACTGAAATTAAGAATAAATAGAGACTTGTTAGCGTAAATGTCGTAATTACAAACAACCGCACACGAAAACATAACCATAAAAATGCGTGGCCAACTGTCCTTTACATTTCGAAAATCAATCAATGATCTTCTCAGTTGAAGAAATCTGGCAGACGTATTCATTTTTATCATCAATTTCCAATTTTATGTGAATGCTTCAGTTTGATTTCAATGCCTCAACAAAAATAAAGTTGCAAGAGCTTAGCAGAACAAGAACACAGAGCAGAAAATGTAAACACTGTCAGGTGATAAAACTGTACGATACGAAGACCGAATGGAGTTTTCCGGGGAAGGAACTGATTAATGAAGACTGTAAAACGTTACATACTAGAAAAACACCACACAATCAAAAATTTGGTTTCCGCTATGGTTCTTGACTAAAAGGAGACAGGACACAAATGGTTGTTGTACATAGCGTGCTGAGAACATCGTCACACATTTTAATTGAATTTTGTCTCACACACTCGATTGCTCTTAGTAACATCCCGAAAAGTGTTCACATGTCTTCACTTTATGTTCATCACACAGGAATTGTTTCTCAATTAAACTGTGACCCCTTTTACTGACCGTAAAGTTAGACAAGCGTAAGGTTGGCCAGCCTCCCCACGCCTCAATAAACAGCTGGTGTCGTCTGCTGCCATCGTCTGCTGGGACGATGTGCGATTATGAAGCTTGTGTACATAGAGCCATGGTCTATCGGAGGTTTTCAAAACGCATAGGACTATTGACACATTAAGGGGAGGCCACGGGTAAGTGACATCTTTACTCTTTTGCTGTTTTGTTACGCTCGACTGCGGCCCCTTCTTGCCTGACCAGTCTAACCCTGATATTCTATCAGGCCACCTGAGCCGAGGCAAAGGTTTTTGTTTACGGGTGTCAATATAGTTTACGATTCGTTTACCTCACTTAATTCTCGCCTCTACTACTGCTTCATTTTGTGAAATGAAAAAAAAATCGTATTGAAATCGGGCCAGACATAACCCGATTGCTAATTGTTGTTCCCCGGGGACCGAGCTCAGCTCGTTTTGAACCCTTGCCAAAACTCGCGCAGCGAGCACTCTCTTTTATGCAAGGCCCAAATAGAATGGGGAATAACAGTGTCGAAAGGCCGTGCCGAGCCACGGCAACCTCGACAGGCGGGGTGCACGCCCTGTGCACGTCTGGGAACCGGTTATGGACCGGTTGGAAACCAGTTCTGTCTAGATCCGGATTTGCCTGGCCTCAGCCCTAGCAGGGCCTTTCAGGGCCCTGGCAAAGGGTAACATCGGTCGGTGCGGGCTGCGGGGGCTGCGGGGGCTGCGGGGGCGTGCTCAATGGTGCCGCCGACCCACCATGCCCTCAGCCTGCGGGGCACTGCGGGGCACTGCGGCGCGCGGGAGCGTGATCACCGAGCTGTTGCATCGCCTACACCGCAACAGTTATTTGATCGTTGAATTGACTGTTCTCCATAATTTTTGACAGTCTGACCGAAAATGAAGTTCGCCGAGCACCTCGGGGCGCACATAACGCCCGAGTGGCGCAAGCAGTACATAAACTACGAGGTGAGTTTCGTGTTTGGCTGCAAATGAGTGAAAGTTAAAAAGAGAATTGGTTTCAATGAGTGTCGTTCGAGCAGGAGATGAAGGCCATGCTGTACATCGCCGTGGAGCAAGCACCCTCCGCGGAGGTGGTGGAGCCTGCCGTCCTCCGCGCATACTTCTCCCAATTTGACGAGAAATTCTTCCACTACTGCGACAAGGAACTCGCCAAGATCAACACCTTCTTCTCAGGTATGCACCATAAAAACTGACACCCTCTGGATTGGACCCCCTTCCCCCTAAAACGTTTGCCCTGTCTCCGGGTTGGCAGAGAAGCTGGCCGAGGCGCAGCGGAAACACAGCGCGCTCCGCAGCGAGATGCTGGAGGCCCAGACGGCGGAGGGCGAGGGCGGCGCGTCGGCCGGGGGCTGGAGCGCGCGCTACCGCTACCACCTCAAGCACGGGCCCCTGCGGCGCGCGCCCGTGCGCAAAGTGCAGGACCTCAAGCTGGCCTTCTCCGAGTTCTATCTCGGACTCATCCTGCTGCAGAACTACCAGAACCTCAACTTCACAGGCTTCAGGAAGATCCTCAAGAAGCACGACAAAGTGAGTGGAGGAGTGGGGTCGGGTCCACTCGCCACTAAGTGGCTCCACGCCGAGGCCAGAGGCCCGCACTGACGCGTGTGTCCGCTTGGCCCTTGCAGTTGCTGTCCGTGGAGGTCGGGGCGCGCTGGCGGCGTGACGTGGTGGAGGCGAGCCACTTCTACACCAACAAGGACATCGGGCGGCTGATCGCCGAGACGGAGGCCGCCGTCACGCAGAACCTGGAGGGCGGCGACAGGCAGCGCGCCATGAAGCGGCTGCGCGTGCCGCCGCTCAACGAGCAGCAGAGCCCCTGGACCACGTTCCGCCTCGGCCTGTTCCTGGGCTCCTTCGCCGTGCTCTTCATCGCCGTCGTCTTCGCCGGTGAGTCTGAACGTGGCGGAGCGCGGCGGGACGCCTGCCAGGCGGGCAGACCCGGCGCACACGCGCGGCGGCGTGCGGCCTACCTGCCAGGCGGCCTCGAGGGCGTGCTGCGGGCCACCGCACCCCGCCCCGCAGGCGGCCTTGACGGCGACCTCCGTGTTGCAGCCGTGTCGAGCTCCGGGTCCACGGACTGGCGCATCGTGTTCCGGCTGTACCGCGGCCCGCTGCTCGTCATCCAGTTCATCTTCCTGCTGGGCATCAACGTCTACGGCTGGCGGTCGTCCGGCGTAAACCACGTGCTCATCTTCGAGATGGACCCGCGCCACCATCTGTCCGAGCAACACATCATGGAGCTGGCGGCCATCTTCGGCGTGGTGTGGGCGCTCAGCGTGCTGGGTGGGTGTCGTGGCCTGGCGCCCCTTGCCCTTGCCGTCCAGACCGCTCCGCCCCGCCCCGCCCGTCTAATACGAGTCGGCCGCAGTGTTTCTGTACAGCGACGCGCTGGGGGTCCCGCCCTTCGTCAGCCCCCTGCTGCTGCTGCTGGTCATGATGGGCTTCCTGTTCAACCCGACGCGCACGCTGCGCCACGAGGCGCGCTTCTGGATGATCCGCATCATGGTAACGACCGCGTCGCGCCGCGTCGCGCGGCACGCTTCGAGTCACTCGCATGTCGCATGCATGCCGCTGCTCAGTGCCTGCAGCCTGCAGGGTACGTTACAGTTTGGTTCGACCCCCTTGCCCTGCTAGAAATAAAAGTGCAACGTTTTGTGACTAATAATCTCAGTCTCTAGGTCGGCCTTGTAATTCCTTGAAACGGCCCCGTATTTAGCATGACGTAAGCAAGATGTGTTCGCCTGGAAGGAGCTCTAGTTGAGTAATCACTAGCTAGCTCCGCGGCTTGTGGGAGACCTACTGTCGGTCGCAAGGGACGCGGACTGTGACAGTGGACTGACCCGCAGCTTTCGTAGACTCAGCCGGCGGAGAGCCAACTTTATAACATAGGCCCGTCCTGCTCGGATCTTTTGCGGCTTATTTTGTTTCTCTCTGACAAGTTTGTAGACTTCTTAGTAGGCCTCGATAGATTTTTGGCATGTAACCTTCTGCTTGACTAGGTTTGTTTAAAATGAACTTAGACTTGGCGCGGTAGTCTCCCCCTTTTTCTCTGGCCGTTCTCCACGACTTCTCGGCCGGCCGCGCCCCGAGTGACTCGGTTCTGCCCTCCAGTTCCGCGCGCTGTCGGCGCCCTTCTTCTTCGTCAACTTCGCCGACTTCTGGATGGCCGACCAGCTCAACAGCCTCGTGCCCGCGCTCATCGACTTCCAGTACACCATCTGCTTCTACATCACCAACAACAGCCTGACCATGGCGTCGGATGGTGAGTGCCTTCAGCATTTCTCGGTTACTGTTTTGCAATGTTGTTCTGACGGGCCCTGTGCTGCCGTCACCGCAGACGCCAAGCAGTGCGTGGAGCGCGCGTGGTTCCGGCCGGTCATGGCCGTGCTGCCCGCCTGGCTCCGCTTCGCACAGTGCCTGCGCCGCTACCGCGACACCCGGGAGGCCAACCCGCACCTCGCCAACGCCGTCAAGTACTCGACGGTGTTCGTCGTCATCATCTTCACCTCGCTGGCCACCCACTACGAAGGTAAAGCTACTACAGCAAACTTTCAAAATAACTCTTTTTCAACAACTTAAATTTTTTAAAAAATTTCTTTTTTTTAAAGGCAACTATGAACACCAGTACCAGAATCCGTACTTTTACCTGTGGATCCTGTCGAGCGTGTGCAGCTCCCTGTTCGCCTACATCTGGGACATCCGCCTGGACTGGGGGCTGTTCGACAAGAACGCGGGCAACAACAAGTTCCTCCGCGAAGAGATCGTCTACTCGTCCGTGGTGAGTGCGATTCCCCTACGACGGCGTCCTGGCGCGCTCTTGTGGCGCCTCTCTGACCCACTGCTCCACTGCTTCGCCCCACAGTGGTACTACTACTTCGGCATCGTGGAGGACCTGCTGCTGCGGTTCGGCTGGGTCTTCTCGCTGTCCTTGTCGGAGCTGGGCTACGTGCACGGCGAGCTTATGGTCACCATCCTGTCGCCGCTGGAGGTGTTCCGGTGAGTCCCCCATTCCGCCACGTCCTCGCTGCGCGCTCCGCGGCCGCCTGCCGTCCACCGGGTGGGCAATCCGCCCGCACGGCTGCGCGCCGGGTTGCCTACCCACCGATTCACAGGCGGCCAGCTGCCGCCTGCGGACGGCAGGGTAGGCAACCCGCCGCGCAGCCGTGCGGGCGAGTTGCCTGCCTTGCCAGGCTGCGAGGCGCCCGCCCGCGGCGGCGTAGGCAACCCGGTGCGCAGCCGTGCGCTCGCGTTGCCCGGCGGCCCTGGACCGTTCTGGACCGCCCTGGACGCTGGACGGCGCGAGGCACCGCGAGGTACTCACGCATGCCCGTTTCACCGCGTTTCGCCCTGTGCAGGCGCTTCGTGTGGAACTTCTTCCGACTGGAGAACGAGCACCTCAACAACTGCGGCAAGTTCCGCGCCGTGCGCGACATCTCGGTGGCGCCCATGGAGACGTCGGACCAGGGCCTCATCCTGCGCATGATGGACGAGGAGGACGGCGTGCTGAACCGCAACAAGCGCAAGGCGGTGGGCAGCACCACGGCCAGCACCAAGCGCCGCCACCGCAACCTGCTGGAGGACGAGTCCACCGACACGGAGCAGGGGCTGCTGCGGTGAAGTGCCGTCCCGTACCGTCCCGGACCGTCCCGGACGACGCCTAGGGGCGTGGACCGCTAGGTGTCGCATTTTCATTTCTCCATTTTTGTTTTTGTCTTTTTTTTACGGCGGAGCTGGGCCGCGGTTTCCTACACTGTTCGTAGTTTGTGTCTGTTTTTTTTTCTGTCGCGTCCTTTTTTGTGTAGCCCCGATAAGTCCCCCCCCCTCCCCCACTTCCACTCCTCCCGCCTTGATTCCTGGACGTCCTGGGCCGACAGCACTAGTCGCCTCGACGCCCCCCTACCTCTCTCCTCACTTCCCCTAACTGACTGTGATTTAGATTTTACGACTTGTTTTTAATGTTGTTTATGTTAATAATTCTTGAGCTTGGTTTTGAGGTACTGACCTATGCGGCAATTTGTGCTGGCGTATTTGGGCACATTTGCTTGCTTCCTTACTGAAGCTACTCTCGCTGTGAAAGTCTAGTCTTGTCAACGTTTATTTTTAAAAAACAATGTCAATTTGATGCGCAAATCTAAAAAAAAACAAACTAAAACAAACTAAAAAACTATCATGTAGGTGTAGGAAGAACCACTTGATTATTTTTCTCCCTTGGTGGCATCATCTCCTCATCGAGCTGATCACTGACTTGGTTGTACAAATGTGCGGGCGCTGCCTTCTGAGTCTTCCCTCTCTCTGCGTTTAGAAACACCAAGGTTGTGAGCTTGGCAGCGTGACGGTGAACCGAGACTTATCTCATGTGATTAAGTACCTGCGACCTCGTTTTTATTGCTGGTCAATTCTCGTTGTTGTGACAGTTGCTAATTTATTGTTCTTGTTGGAGTGTTTGTATTGTTGTTGTTCTTGTTGCTGGCCATCAATAATTTCTTGTCGCAATAAAATGATTGAAACTTACATCCGACGGCCTCCATTACTGCGCGCTCCCTAAAAAGTGCGGCGGGGCTTTTAGGCGGCAACGCGGGGCAACGGCGACAATGCGGAACGAGACGGGATTTTTTGGGAGAGGAGGGGGCGGGGCTCCGACGGAAAGGGCTGGCGAGGGCACAGGGTGGTCCAGAAGCCCTCGTTCTCTTTCCGTATTCATGCTGCTGTGAGCCAGCCAGCGAGCCCGAGACTGCATCCCCCCTCCACGCCACGAGGCCATGGCAGGCCATGGCAGGCTATGGCCGCTGGGCAGCACAGCCCCCACAGCGAGCCTTCATGGGGCTCGCGGGCCACGCTGTATGCACATTTGGAAAAAGAGTCGGGCTGGCATCGCGCGTCGTATCGACGTTGCACCCCACTGCGGGCGCACGGCGTGTTCCAGAAGGCCTGATTGAGAGCAGAGGAGGAGGGAGGGGAGGGGGTGACCTGGTGGCAGTGGGGTGGCGACGAAATGTAACCAGCCAGCCGCCGTCCCTCCTCCCTCCCTCTTTCTCGACGGTTCGCCAGTGTAGGGCCGGCCCAGGCTGGTCGCTGGCGTGGAGCGAGACTGCGGTTCGAACGGTGGCGCGCCCTTGCGGCGTCGCCCGCAAGCCTCCCGGAGCGCTGGGGCCGCTGTGCGCTCTGCCTGGCCCTGGGCCCTCGGCCCTGGGCCTTCGGCCCTCGGCACTCGGCCTCCCCGTCCCGCTGCCCTGCAGTGGCGTGGTTGGGCCGTGCCCACCCAGCCTCATCCCCCGCCTGATCAATGGATCAATACCGTTAGCGCCTCCGACGGGCCCGACGGGTAAACAGCGCCCGAAGTCACCCCGCCGAAGTCCGCCGAAGCGACTCGGGCGCGCTCGGGTCGAGACGAAGTGCGGGGCTGGGGTGGGGCTGGGGCTGGGCCGGGCTAAGCCACGGCCTGCGGCCCACTGCGGCCCTCCTGGCGCGCGCTGCCTCGCTGCCTCGCCACACGGCGCATGGAGGCCCAGTGCTCAGCACTGCTGGGCGCGGCGACGCTCCGCGGAGCTGGCGGAGCTGGCGGAGCGCACGGCCCTGGCAGCGCTGGCAGCCTCCACCCTTGAGCCTCGGCTCTCGGCCATCCATCGGGCCATCCATCGGGCCATCCACCGGGCCAGCGGGGCCGCTTCACCACGGCCTCGAGGACGACCAGCAGGGCCTGCAGCATGCGGCTTGCCGCCTACTCGCCGTCCACTGGGCGATGAAGGTGAGTCTCCATCGAACCCGCAGGCCATGCCCAGTGCCTCGGCCATAGGCCTACCCCTGGAGCCACGAGCCTGGTTCCCCCTGGCCATGGTGCCCTTCCATGTATGCCTCTTGCGCTGCTAGCGCGCCGCCGTCTCCGTGCTTAGGTCCATTTCTAGGCGCCCCGTTTCGGTTGGAGGCCATCAGGCCTTGAAGGGCATTGCCCTCCGACCTTATATCGATGGCCCTTGGGCTGTGCGACCTGGAAGGCCTGGAGGGCCTGGAAAGCGTGCAAGGCTTGGGCACGGAGCCTTTTACCCTCGTGGTACTCGATGGCCCAAGTGGATGGTGACCTACAGTGCACACGGAAAGTGGAAATATTCGAATCATTTTCGTCTTATCGAAAATAAAGTCTACGCTGGACACGTTCTGTGAGTCTCCTGCCTGGACGGCGTAGGCTGTGAGCCCATCTTTGTGGGGCACCGTTTTCTCCGGGCCAGTAGCTCTCTGCGGCTCTTTGGTAACGAGGAGCTGAATTGTCATAGATGTCGCCTATGGATGCTCTTTGACTTTCTTTTGTTTGCTGTCCTTCGAGCCTTCAAGGACAATTCATCATCAGGCCCTGTGGCTCTCGTGGTGGATTCAGCTTTCCTGGACTTGACTTTTGCAGTTCATAGCCTGGAAAGGTTGGAATGAGAAGCGGAACGGAGGTGGGGGAGGCAGCCGCGTAGCCGCGTACGGCATGGCCAAAAAAAATGAGGGAGAAAGGGCTGTAGGCCGAAGCAGTGGGAGGGAGTGTAGGGCCGCCAGCCACCATCGAGCGACGGCGCCAAGGCGGGGGCAGGCGGGGGCAGGCGGGGGCTGGAAGGGGCATGCGGGGCCCCGTGGGGGTGGCGCCCCGGGTCGGGTCGGTATTGGGTGGTGGGGGGCCTTCTGGGGGCACTGCGGGGCCACCGTGGCGCAGTGACACCCCGCCTGGCGTGCCGCAGGGCACGTCGCGCGTAGCCCCTCCGCGTAGCCCCTCCGCGCAGCCTTCGCGTAGCCTTCGCGTAGCCTTCGCGTAGTCCTGCAGCTTGCTAGGCGAGTCTCAGAAGCCCCCTCGAAGCTTGCAGCCTTGCAGCCATCGCAACTGACGACCGCGGCTTTCTTTGTGTGCAGGAGGATGAGTTGCGGACGCTGACACCGCGCCGTGCCGCGCCGAGCCGCCTCCACACCCCTCGCACCACATCGATGGGTCGACCGCTCCAGCAATAGCAGCAGCCCTTGCTTCATCCTGGTCTCCGACATGATCTCCAAATTGATCTCCGACTTGATGTCCAACTTGATCTCCAAATTGATCTCGATCTCCGAATGATCTCCAACTTGATCTCCGTCGTGGTCTGCATGGCCTTCGACATGGTACCGTGAGTTTGTTTCCCTGCACCCTTCTCCGCCGCGCCTTCGTCTGGTAACCCTGCAGCAGGGCCCGTCGTCAAAAAATACGTGCAACAATAGTTCAGGTGGAAATTTGCGACATGACATAGACCAGGGCAGGCACGCCGACCGTCGTAGTTAGAGCATGCCTTCTCCGTCTGGTGATCAGCGCACGTGTGATAGATACCAAACACCTGATTCATGTACAAAGTTTGGGTTTACCGTGTCACAGATTCCTTCACAAGGCTGTGGCTCAGTTCCTTTAGTTCACAATAACCGTTCAAAAGCCTTCAAACTCCTTCACCAAAGCAACTTAAAATGTGATGTTTAATGTGTTATTTAACTTTATTCCCTTCAAAAACAGCGTGTGTCTGCTCTGCAAAAAGTATTGACATTTTAAAAGGATTTTTAGTGGACATGCATCTCAAAGACGCTACTTCCTCTTAGAGACTCATCGTTGTTTAAACTGCAACCGTTGTAATTAGTGATGCCACTACGCTGTAACTATGTTCATTAAGTTGTAATTACGTAAGGATGGTGTTTCACCGCGGTTTAAGTTGATATTTGCAGCCCAAAGCGGAAGTACGACTTTGTCAACAAGTCGTCCGTTCCTCTTTGGGCTTGTCCGTCGACCCGTTATGTGTGCTCCGACGTACTTAGGTATTCAGCTCAGAGGCTTCCGCCACCGCGAAGCCATTTCTGAACCGGCACAGAGAAAACGAAGCCGTATATAATTATTTTACATTGTTTGCGCGAATTCTAAGAAATGTGTCTCCCCAATGTTCCTCTCAGACCGTTGTAGTTTTATTAAGGCACCTCCGCGGCGTAGTAAGTTAATGCCATGCTATGCAGCGAGGCTAAACATGTGTTCAGAAATACTGGTACTAACCGTTACTTAAGTCTATAAGTAAATACTATGACGTATTCTAAAATGTTACTACATTAGTAAGTCCGCAAGTAATGATATTAGACTGGTGCTCTGTTACACATTCGAAAGTGATACTTGCTTCATTTGGAATTGAAAAACCAAGGTCAATAATATTCAGAGCAATATTGTTTGCAACAAAAAAGAAACAAATCAAAAAACACCGTTGTTTTGTTGGTTGGTGAATATTTATTACTGCAAATCCAACCAGCTAAATACGGCAGATGGTTTCAAAAAGTAACCGTGCATGCGCGTAAGACGATGCTTTATGCTAAGCAGGGCACAAGGTGAACACTAGTTCCGATTTCACTTGCCAGTTATTCGTCGTCATTTTATGCCTTATCGGGGTAAAGTCACCGCAGAGTTATGTCGAACGCGGAACACAGCGTTCATTTTTCGAAAATTACCTTTAACGAGAAAAAATCCTTACTTGGTGAGTGGCTAAAAGCGCTTCTCCTTGTTAAGTTGAGCCAAATCTAGGTATCGCAAAGCATCGAAAAAATATGCTAATAGATCGAAGTGTACAACACATGCAAATAATACAAAGATTAAGGACTTATGATAAAATAGAGAGTATGATTGTAACAGTAGCTGTACTTATGCAATGTATCTTACGACGCAAACACAGTTAACAAATTATTACTTTCTCACTCCCTCTGCATTGTCAGTTAGCAGGGACGAAGTGACTCACCACTATGTCCTCACTTCTGACAGTCGCCGACGCAAGTGGTTATACCGGAGACCTGTCAGAAGTGTTTGCTGTAATTCTGACTCACAGTCAATTTTGAAATGGGGCCAACTCGGTCGCATCTCATATGATGGAAGCTTTCAAATGGCCTTGATACAGCGAGAGCTTTCTGGTCTGCTGTTAACGACGTATCGACATGTGGCCTTCTGTTTCAACTATTTCAATGAGTTCAATTTAACCAAATCCTGAAAAAATCAACATTCATTCAATAACTTTTTTTTAATTAGCACACTGGGATCCTGCTAACAATGCACGTCTGGCGTCCATGGCTCAAGGTTCGTGGTTATTGTTGAAGGTTGGTCTCTCTCTCAATGGAGCTGACACAAATTTAATATGAAAAAGATCATAAAAAAATATCAAACGAACAATGATATTTGCCTTCTGTATCGTTAAAGCACTTGCTCTCAATATTAAAGGACGCGATGTACACATGTCAGGTAGTGTGAAAGCAACTAAATTCGCTCATATTAATTACGCCCATGTATGCCTATGATTTGTTTTTGCCCGCGATGTATTGATCACAACAAATAGATCACATTTAATCATATTCGATTCTAGAAGTGTGCTAATGAATGTTTATTTCTTCAGAGTGGCTTCTTACACCATAGTTGTAGGTGTACTTACCATTGATATATAGATCTAGATGAATTGTCACTTTGATGTCTTTCTCGTATTCTCAGCCAAAAAAAGATAAAAAAAAATTATACGCCTGACCAACAACTGTTCGTACATATCTTCGTTGAAAATGTAACAGACGTGTCCGCTAATCAAAGGTGCTGAAAATTTGTAACAGAAAATTATGGCGATATGTTATGGCATTTATTGCATTCGCAATCACCAAGGAAGGCTTGGTTTCTTGTCTAAAACAAAAAAGAGACAACATTCGTTTCTTGTTCTCATGTGGTGCTTTCGAAGTAAGAAGTACGTCAAAACGTTGTACGACGACTGTGACAAATCTGTTACATATGTCGGCTAGAATAACGGCCTACCTTCTATTGTGGTGGAACTTGTGCGAACCACTGAAGGCTCCATGTTTCATGGTGACGTCTAGCGGCGCTCGCCTTGTTTTATAGAATGCATGATCTGCTCGGGTAAGATTTCGTAGTCGCACTGTGTGGTCTTAGTATACTAGGGTTATTATTATTACGATTATGATTTGTTTCCGTATAATCCGGGACATTGGCAGAATGTTCCTTTTTTTCAAACCCTCTATTGCATAAACCACTTGGTGGTATTGACCACCATAAATACAAAATCGCACAGTGTAATTCATGCAGTTGAACTATACACTGTTTTTCATTCATGTTGATGCAATTATTTCGATCCCCAGTTAAGTACAGAGAGGGTTCATAAATTTCTGCCACTGTTTTTGGTACCTACCGTGTTAAAAACAATAGCTCGTTGAATGTGTCTTAACATTAATCGGCTTTTGTCTTTTAAGTACCTTCCGTACAATCTCAAGTAAAATTCCACTGTTATATTTGCAGGCCAAAGGCTTCAGGTAATTATTTCCTGCATATGTGTGATACTTGCTGAGCTGTGATTCCAACTATTTTATTGTTGTAATATATACTTATTTCGGGTGTTAAAACAGATATCTTGTGTTCCTTTGGAGTATCTGTTATTACCTTCAAAACAAGATGTTTCTTTACTTTAAAATGCCAGAAACGCGTGAATGAAAGAATCAATCTAATGTAATTTCATAAAGTCGATTGCACTTATAAAAAAAATCAAAATCCAATCCAGTGTTCAAAATTACCACGAAAGCATTCAATGAACGCATTTGTTTAGTGTTGTATTTGTAACACATTGCGTGTAACTGTGTGAGTAAAAATGTCGAATGACACACAAACGCAGTCACTCTTTAGAGGTAGCGTCGATGTAATGATTCGGTATAATTTGCCTTCATTGTGCTTTTTCATTTATCGTTGTCCTGTTCTCCAGAACACGAGACGATACGCGCGACTTAAAAAAGGGTTTTGTTTAAAAGCGAGCTTTGGGTTGTCAGCGAGTAGAAACTGTAGAGGCTCTTGCCATCAAATCATAACGGGTCAAGGTAAGGTATTCTTATAAGTGTCACATGTTTCGTGTCGGTGTAGGTCATTCCCCCTTTAAATTCCTTCCCTCTCCCCTTTTGCTCACAGTTCCCGCATAACCCTTTAAGTATAAAATAAAAACTCGTAGTGGATAAAGTTTTATTTACATTGTGCGTGGTTCTAAACCCTTTTGCTTTATTTTTGGACCTATACGTGCAAAGTAAATTGTGGACGGGCTGCTGAGCGTTATCTCAGGATTGACTTGCCGTTATCGGCTCAAAATTAAAAAAAAATCAGAGATGCATTAGGTATGAGCTCTTTGCTATGCCCTTGCTTTGACTTATTCGCTTAGTCAGATCAGGGGCAAATCTAGCGAGAGATTCAGAGAGATGTATAAAACCTTTTGCAATCGTTTCTGGACATTTCCCTAAAGTTTCTAAATTTTAAAAAATGTGTGTATTTCGGACAATTTAAGGCTTTGGTTACTGAAAATTTTTATTTTTTCATTAAATAACTGGTTGCAAAAGGTAGCCTAGAACGTATGATCGTAATGAGACTTAAAGCCACTTCAGTAAACATAGTTAAATGCAGTAATTTAAAAAATATGCACTGGATTTAATAATTAAAGAAATGGATATATTCTAACTCTAGTTTATTTAAGTTCAAGTTTAAAGCGAAGTTTCCTAGGTTACTATATTGGGGCTGTGTTTGCTCCGAGGTGATTGCTAGGCAAGTTCCTGCACTGTCTTAAATTCTGTATTTAATATGTTTACTCGTTAGTCGTCAAAATCTGGATTTAGGCTACTCCAATGATAGAAGACGTTAAAATGTAACGATGGCACTGTCATAAAAATTGAACATAATAGGCATCTTGGTTTGACGACCAATCAAAAAGCCGTCTTTTTGAAAGATAACAGTGTAAGTAATATCATTATTATCTTTTATAGGCCATAGATCGCACTTCGCGAACAAATGACTTGTTTTATTTTATTTGCATGCTTGAGAAGCAAGTGAAATTAGCGACGAAGTTCAAATAATTTCACGTTTTCCTGAAAAGGTAGAAGTGGTTTTTGGACTTTTCGAGTTTAGGCGTCAAGCTCCAGTACACTTGTAATTGTTTAAAAGGTCCCGAAGAGGTCATGAAACTAGCTCATTTTACTAGTCAGCGGACTGTGTGTCTTCGTCTCTTGCCCTTACTGAGGAGCGTGAAATACTGGAGGTGTGTGCTGTGTCCTGGGTGTTGTATTGTACCGTCTATATATGAGTGTCACAAATATTTAAAGGTATAACGTGGTCTGTTTCTAGGACAGACTTTATTTTATTTGTATAGACAACTACTATGACACATACCATTGGTGCCTAATTGGTGGTGCCCATGTGGGGAGCTGGGAACCAGGGTGCGAGGTTTCGAGCATTCATGTTTTGAAAACCTTACCACCCCATTTTCAATTTTTATGTAAATCACTGTTTAATGGCAGTGAACCTGTCTCGGTTAGCGGCCGTTTGATGCGAATTTCACTCGGCCATCGTTTATGTCATTAACTGTCATACAACGATGCCCAGGGCTTCCCAAAAATATTCTATTTTAGAGACACGACCCATAACGTACCGTAACAGTAAACTGTTTATTTTGGTTCAACTACGTATTTCAAATTGTAAATTTAGAAATGCAGTTCAAGCTGCGCGAAACTTATAAGTAACTCACTGGTCATTGGATGAAACGTAACGTTAACATACAAACGATTCGTTTTATTGTCGCCTCTCTGCATTTATGATAGGCTGTGAGAGGATCTTAGGAAAATTATTCTATGCGGATGGTGTAGCGTTGATTATTAGGTTTGTGTGAGTTTGCGAGAAGTGTTTCGAGTGCGTTGCAAATTGTTGTCTTTTTCACTCATCTATTTTTTCCGTACATTTTTCTCCGTTTTTTTTTGACATACATTTTATCTCATTTAGTCGTGTGCTTTTGTGTGTGTAGTTTCTGTGTGATCATGCTTCTATGTAGAATAGTTGAGTATTTATTCATTATCAATTTACCCTGGCCATATTCCCTTTTCACCTTTTATTAGACAGTTGGTCAGCCTGTCACCCAGGCTGTCAAGCTCATGTCTATCACGGTCACGGGGCTCAAGATACAGAGGCTCAATAGCTTTTCAGCCATTATACAAATTTCTTCTCTTATGGATGTCTTAATTTTTTGTGTCTTTTTTCGGTCATAAGACGTTAATTTTACTCGTCCAGCCGTTTTCCATTTACTGTTTACTTGTTGTCTCGTTTATTACGCAGGTTGGTTCCATATATGTAGATTAGACAGGAGGGTTCAAATATTTTAAATATATCTGGCGCCACTAGCAAGACTGTGTGGCAGTCGGGTCATTTTTATCTTTTGCGTCCTATATCTCTCTTTGACCACATGGCAAGGCTTGGCTTTTCCCTGATTATAAAACTTGTTGCATGTCATCACTCGTTATCTATCTTCAAACTATTTATTATTCGTTCACATTGTACGACTGTTATAATTTATTAGTTAGTTTTCTAAAGTTAATTTCTATTTGGATTACTTTTTTCTTACTTAAAGTTACTTTTGGCCACTTCTTTAATGTACATGTATTTTAGGCCATCTTTTCGATATTTTCCGTTTACTTAATGTGTTTTTTTAACGTTTTGTCATTTCATAAGGATCATTGTTGTGTCTCGAATGCTACAACACGTAAAAGCATTGACTTAAAATGTTTATATGAATGTTTTAAGTCTTCATAATAACTCGCAACTTTGATTTATAGAAAACGTTCACTGTGTTATAAGTACGATTCACGTTTTTTCTAGTTTTTGAAACGTATGTAGGCTTATCTTTGATCAGCGTACGTGTACGCGTGTGTGAGTGTTTGCATGCGTTAACGTGTATGCGTGTGTGGGTTCGCGGCGCGTGCATGTAAGTCATATTAGGGTGGATTTCGGATTTATCCATTAAATAATATTTTGTTTTCATCTTTATAATAACACAAACTAGTTTCGGCTTCCAAAGGCTCCAAAAACGCATTCAAACGAAAAAGAAGAGGGATTCATGATGTCCAAATTCATCAAAAACTAAAACATTCCCGACTGCCCCCATTTCGGCTCCGTGTGCCTCTAACATTGCGCATTCGACAATTAAATTATCCGGTAATCGATGGCGTCACTTTGTAAATTGACAAAAACGCGCCCACCCAGAAAGGATGGGCTGAGTTGGTAGTGGGCTGTGGAGCATTTTCGAAAAGACAGTGGCCATGGACCAAGATACAGTGGCCATGGACCAATCGATGGCAGGGATGGACCAAACGACGAAGGCCATGTGTGGACCAAAAACGATGCACTCATGTTTTGATTACGGACCAAGCGAAGCAACTTATCAACCAGCAGCCAAGAAACCTACTGGCAATGCCTGACGGCAGCCACTGATTGAATTTCCCTTATTAACGAATGGGCATCTAACATCGTTGGTTCAACTTGAATGATAATTATTTGTTAAACCTTTACCGGAAAACAAAAAAATTATAAAGCAAAAATTCATTTTTTTAAATGTTAATGGAGTGCTTTTTTATTAGTAGCTTTAATCTTATTCTCTTCGTTTTTGAGTGGATTTCGTCTCAGTTCTTTTCCCTTTCCTCGTGTTATTCCTTAATGTTCAAACTCTCTTCGCTTCTCTTTTAACTTTTTCGACTAAATATTTTGCTAGGTTTTGGTGTTTTTATTCTTATTTTGGAATTTGGCATTTTCCTATGCAGTTTTATCTATTTTACTCATTTTAGAACTTCACGCTTTGAGATTTTCTTTCATATCTCACTGTTCATTTCAAACACCCGTTTCACCTTTCTAATGTCAAATCTCGTGCGCCCTGCATTAGCTGGTTCGATTGCATGGCTTTTTTTCCTCGAAACGTATTAAGTATTTGTGTATTTGGGGCTGAGTGAAAAGGGTAACCTTTAATCAAACACGATTCAAATTCAGCTCCTCAAATTCGGATAATGCACCTCTTTCTCGGGCATCAAAATCATTACCTATGCACAAGAATATCACTTACTGACAATAATGTAGTATAAGAGGCAGCAAATATCTGCACATCATGACAATACTCTGGTTGTAACATTCAATACGTTTCGCCTGGTCACCCTTTCTCACTCAAAACCAAAGCGTTTTTTCGTGTCTCTGTGTTTTCGTGTGTTTGATCGCGTAGTGTGCGTGTTTGTGTGTGTGTGTTTGCGTGTGTGTCGTGTTCCCGGCATTAGTTTGTTAACTAGACGTTTGAGTTCTCGCGAAGTTTGATTGCACTCGTTGAACGCGCCCCGGCCGCGGCGGCGTGTCGGCGGCCTGCGCCCTTGCCCCACGTGGCGGCACGGCGGCGCGGAGGCGCGACGCGGCCGGGGCCACCAGGCACTTCCCTCTGGCGGCAGCCCCCTCGCGGCGCGACGCGTGTGGCCCAGCCACTGGTCTCTGCCGCTCAAACACCCGACGCACCCAGCAACTTGACTTGCGCAAGCGGGGCCTGCATCGGGTGGGCGTGAAGCTGCTTGAAGCGAGCGGAGCGCCAAGCCGCGACCGCGGGGGAGCCAGCGGCGCCCTGCCCCTCTCTGCTCCCTTCCCCCTCCCCCGCTCCTGGAGCAGCCAGCATGCAGCCTGCCTGCAGCTCATGTAGGCCCCCGGCGACGAAGGCGTGCTACCGCCGGAGCTGGGGGCGGCCCTGTGGCCATGTGGCCGAGGCGTGGCTGCGCCCGGAGTGCGGCGGGGGGAGCGACGGGCGTCGAACGCGGGAGCTCGGTGGCGAACGTGCTGCACAAGCACGGGAGCCGAGTGTCGATCGCGGGAGCCCGATGAAGCTGCGTCCGTAGACCGACGGCGTCCTGGAGGAACGGCCGAACGTCCCCCAGACGGACTCTGGCAGAGGGAGCATGGCGAGGGGGGCACGGGCGCATCCTCGGCGGGGGCGAGGACGAGGGCCCCTTGACAGGTCCTCCAAGCACGCATGAGCGTGGAAGGATCCTTATGGAGGAGCCCGCGAGCCGCCAGAGGGCCAGCACGTTTACCCGCCGCATACAAAAAAAAATAAATAAAAAAAATAACAAAATATATGTATAAAAAAAGGCTCACAGTTGTCCGTCCGGTGCGAGTTGAGTTGACCGGCGGCAGCGGCAGTGTCGACGGCCTTGTCGACGGCCTTGTCGAGCGGCCGGCAGCCTCGGCACAGGACGCAGCGTCGAGTGCGGGAGTCCAGGCATCCTGGCCAGGGCGGCGATCGCAGGAGCTGCAGTTGTCCTGTCCGCTGCTCGGCTGCTCGGAACGCCGCGTGTTGGCGTGTTCGCGTGTCCGGCGGTGCACCGCGCACTGCGCGCCCAGGGTGACGAGTGCGGGAGTCCGACAGATCGGGCCCGAAGGGGCGTCGAGTCGGGCGGCGATCGCAGGAGCCCGAAGGGGTGTGCGAAGGGACACGTGCCCGAAGGGGTGCCCGAAGGGGTGCCCGAAGAGATACGTGCCCGAAGGGGTACGTGCCGTGCCCGAAGGGGTACGTGCCATGCCCGAAGGGGTACGTGCCGTGCCCGAAGGGGTACGTGCCATGCCCGAAGGGGTACGTGCCATGCCCGAAGGGGTACGTGCCGTGCCTGGAGGGGTACGTGCCCGAAGGGGTGCCCCATGAGATTCGTGCCCGAAGGAGTACCCGATGGAGTGCCCGAAGAGGCGACTGAAGGGTTACGTGTCCGAATGGGCGACCGGAGGGGTACTTGCCAAAAGGGGTACGTACCCGAGTGGGTACTTGACCGAAGGGAAGCCCGAAGGGTTACGTGCCCGGAGGGGTGCTCGGAAGGGCACGTGGGTGCCCGAAGGGTCGCCCGAAGAACCGGAAACGCGACGGCAACGCCGAGGCAGAGGCCGTGGTGATCTCATGCTGATGATCTCATGTTGATGATCTCATATTGATGATCTCATGTTGATGATCTCAAGAAAATGATTTTTATGAAGACGGGGGTGATTCGATGCATGTCGATCACACCTATTTTCATAACGCTTTAAAATATTTAATGAAAAACTTTAAAAAAAAAGAAAAAAAAATAAGGAAAATATGATTAAGACAAACAAGAGTGAACTGTGACTTACTTTAAATGAGTGCATTATTCGGAGGGACGCTCGAGCGCGTTGCTCGCGTCGGGACTTGAACCAATTCAGTCCTCAACGGACGGGAAGACAGTCTGGACGTCGCTTCGTCGCTTCGACTCGACGGATCAGACCTCCCTGGACGCGAATCGAGATTCACTTCGAGAATCGCTTCGAGAATCGCTTCGGTGCTAGCCACCCGCATAGCCACCCGCAGCCACCAGTGCCCGTTGTTGCGTTGAGAAGCTCAAACTTTGTATTCCTCTAACGGTTCCCGTTGAACGTGTTTCAACGTCAGACAAGAGAGGCAGTGTCACTAGGGAGCTTGAGGCGACAGCGGGCCAGCCCGGGCGGGGCGCCCTCAAAGGGCCCCCAGGGCCGGCGCGGGGCCTCCACCGCAGCCCGGCCGCGACCCCGTGGAGCACGCCGGTAGGTGCTCGGCGGGCGGTCGCGGGGCGGTCCTGGACGTTGGGCCGCTGGGCCGCGCAGCCCGGCAGAGTGCATGTGCACGTGCACGGCCGGCGCGGCGCGGCGGGGCGCGGCGGAGCGGAGCGGCACGCGGTGGCTGGCCGACGTTCCAACCCGCAACCAGTGAGGGGGGCGCGCTGCCGCGGAGTCCGACCCTGCGCGCTGCGGACCCTCTTCGTGCCCCATGTGCTCTCGGTGCGCACCTCCTTGCCCTTGCGGCCATCCATGCGGCCATCCTCGCGACCTTCTTCGCGGCGCCTCGGCCGAGTCTCCGTTGCTGCGCCGTGCTGCACCCTGCTGCACCCTGCGCCCAGTGCGCCGCGCCGCTCGGGGGTCCGACGCGTCCTCGGGGCGCTCTCGCCCTCGGGCGCCGAGGCCGAGCCCCGCTAGCGCACCGCCCACAATTATTTTTCATTTGTTGCTGTTGTTGTTGTTGTTTATATTTTTCTAAAAAGCAGTAAAATTAGTTTTTAAAAAAACAGAGTGTCGAGTTGTGGCGGTTGTCGCTGTCGGGCTGCTCTGCCCGGGGGGTGCCGGCGGGGCGCGGGGCGTGAGGCAGCTGGAGCTTCTGGTGCCTTACCAGTGTACTTAGGCCGTGCCAAGTGCAGAGGCCGGCAGAGGCCGGCAGAGGCCTGCGCGTTGCTTTCGAGCGCGCCGCTCAAGCACGTGCTTGCGGCTTGCCCGTCGATGCGCGTCACAAGACCCTGAGGAGGACCCCCGTGCTTCAGAGGGAAGTCCCGCGAGCCGCTCGTCGCTTCCCAGACACGGTCGCTTGCGTATGGCGTGTGCGTCATTGAAATAATATGAGCATATATATTTGTATGCACAAATATATTTGTGCATACAAATATAATTTTTGCACACATGTACATAATGGGCGCACTGCCCTTTTATATATATAGGATGCAAATGTATACATTTGCATCCTATATGCATCAAAGATTCAGTGCGCGCATTTTTGTGCTTGTGTGCATTATGAGCATGTTTTTCTCTACGCCCACGCCATGCGTCATCGCGCACGCTGCCTGGGACGCAGCGCTGGGGTGCTCGTCTGCGTGTCCGCGTGAGTCCGCGGCGCGCCCGTGGAGTTGCCGCGGTGCGCGCGTGGAGCCGTCCGTCGCGCAGTCGGTGCCCTCTTCCCGTTTCCCCGCGCAGTGTTGCTGTGCCGTCGCCACGGGCGTCGCCACGGGTGCGGTACAGTTTCCTTGGGCGGCTGGGGCGAGAAGACGCCTGGCGGGGGCGAGTGCGGCTGGCGGCCAGCTTGGACCCGGTGCGCGCACCGCGGTCCGAGTGGCGCGCTGTCCCCTCGCCCCGCCATGGCGCAGGTGCGGCGGTCTTCCCTGGAGAAGCGCCCCCCGCAGCCCGACGCAGCCCTCTAGCGTCGGCATGCTCGTGGTAGCCCGACCCGACCAGCCCCTCCTCCGAGATGATGCGCGTCGTGCTCCCCGCCCGCGCCTTCGCCTTCGCGTTGTGCGACTGACCCCGATGGCGCCGAAGCCAGGCGAAGCCAGGCGACCGAATTCCGCGCGCCTGAGCGCAATCGGAAGAAGAAATTAAAGCGCCTTTTGCCCTTTCCGCCGTTGGTGCGACCAGGACGACTGGCGTGCCCGGGCGTGCCTCCCCGCGTTGGGAGACAGCTCCCCGAGGGGGGCCCCAAAAGGGAAGTCCCTGGGCCGGAGGGCCGCAGGGTCGGACCAGCCTGCAGCGCGTCGCCCTCACTGAGTGACCTCCCGTCCTACCCACCCCGTCCCCGCCCCGTCCCCACCCCGTCCTGCCTACTTCCTCCACCCCTTCCGGACTTCCGATCCACTCTCCCGTTCCCTCCTCCCTCCTCTCCTCATTCCCTCCCGCCCGCTCGTCCACTCCACCCATCCGACCGTGGGGCTGGTGGGGCCCGCCCCGCCCGCCCCGCCCCCATCCTCGTCCCTCCATGTTCGTCCGCGAGCCGCTGACCGCCATGCGATTCTCCTCTGCAGCTCTGCAGCGCTGCAGCGCCCGAGGTCTGTCTGTCGACGATTCGTGTTCTCGAAGTACGGTAGATATGATTATGATTATTTTAGATAAACCGGAAGCCCAATCTTCCAGACAAGTTTTACCAATGGTAGCCTAGTGCTAAGTGGGCCGTGAAATGGAATCCTACTTTCCGTTTGGATTCACCCTACTAAATTTCTATGATCTCATGACGTTGCGCCAACTTATTGCTACTAGCAGAGAAGACAGATTTATTGTTCTATGGAAAATCCTTTCTGGTTGTGGTGAATTTGTGCTCCTCCGAGCGCTGACTTTTCTCGTTCTTTCTGAACGAGCATACGTAGAATCTAACGCCAGCAAGGGTAGAAATTATTACAGTAGTCCCTCCGAATGATGGTCCCACCAAATGATGATGCCACAAAACACGGCAAAACAAGAGACGAACCACTATGAAACTGTGACATAATTTACTTTAATGCTTGAGAAAGGTATGTGCGCGCAAGTGTGAATGAATGTGAATCCGTTGTTAGTAAGTAAAGCCTGTTTCCGTTTGTGGGCATTAGCTTTTGGTGTTTCTCTGAATTAGAGATTTCGTGTTGCCCTGAATTAGAGATTACGTGTTGCCCTGAATTAGAGGTATCTTGTTGCCCCGAATTAGTGGTTTCGTGTTTCTTCTATACAGTAAAGAGGTCGAAATGATTTATTGGAATTATGCTTTTGATGTGTAAATTAATAAAAATAAAAGCCATAAACAACTGTAAACAATGTTAGCTTTGTAAATTTTCAATGTTTGAATGCTGTCTCTAAAAATTCTACATTAAGTTATAATTTTAGCTCATGTCAAAGCTGTACAGTTTAATGTTCTAAATGATTCCAATTCAATTTTACCTTTGTATTCCCTTTCCAAATTATCAATGTCATTTTTAAAATAATTTTGAAGTGCCTCGTAGCATTTAATAACATTTTTCTCATACATTATTGTACTTTTATTTGGGGAGATTTTATGTATAGAACATTATCTTGCATGATTCCTCATGGACATCCTTTTAGTAAAATTCTGCTTTACATGTTCAAAAAAAAATTTCTCTGAGGATAATGTTGATGAGTGTTGTTCTTTCTGTAACTATAGATGTGTGAACTTTTGCTTCAAGTTTATCATAATTGTTTTGAAAATTTGCTGTTTTTGTTGAATTGAAGTGAAAATGCGTGTGGCGTTCATGTGTGCGAGTTTAAGTATTTGTATCATCTAATCAGTTTTATCTTGCAAAGCTGTTTCTGATGGTATTGCAGTATGAGTCCGCCTAAGTTGCCCTGTGGGCCAAAATGAATGTAAAATGATTGTTCATTCACATTTTCTTCAACAAAATATAGTTATAAAAGTATGTGTGTTTAAATGAGTGTAAAACAGGACATGTGCACCGCCGAATCTACCGCCGAAAAAAAAACAAACACTAAAACTAACATAAACTTGATGTAAAATTTGAGTTTAAACAAAAACGAAGTAGGGGCAAGAGCTTTGTATGGGGGTGCCATGATGCAGCCTCCAATGGACTAGGAATCTAAATTTTGATTATTAAATGAGGACATTGACTCGCAGATAAGCTCAGCCGCCTTGCACTAGCCAATAAAGGCTAATTTTGCCCATATGAATGTGACAATGTCCATCGGCACTACCCAATGAATAAATTCATTGTTCTCTCCAATGTTGCTTGTTCACTATTGGGGTTTCAATAATACCTAACTTGTGGAGCAAGAAACTATCCCTTTCATGTAATTAAACTATGTTTATGTAGGCACTCTCCATCACCCGCCTTTTGTCTTGCATTCTTTTGCATCTCTATGTTCTTGAGCGTTTTTCAGCGAAATTGTGTGGAAAGAGGCACTTACCTATTTAATGGTTAAATCGAATGACTCGACCTCAACATTATCAATACATGAGGTAAAAATAAAAACATTATCAAAATTCTCATGCTGACTTTGATTTATCCTTGTCACCATTCATTGATTGGGAAGTTAAAAACAAACAAAGATTAAGCAAGATTTCTTGAAATTTATTGTACTTCATAGAGCTATTGTCTACATACATTAATAACCACTGTAGATCACATTCCTAAAAATTAAAATATTTTCTTTTTATCTAAAAGCACGTAGACATCTTTTTGGTTTCATGCAAGACCTTAATATCCTACAATTCACAATTTACACAATGAGCCCCAAAAAGCAGTTAAAAGTTTTGGCCTGGGTAAAACTCCACTGACAAGGTTTTGCAAGTTAAATTCTGTGCATAAGAAAATCACAAGAAAATGTCATACATATAACAAGCATGACACTGCAATAATAGAATTCAGACTAAAAATTGAATAAATGGAACTTTGGATAACATGAAGAAATTTTCTAACAATTTAAAATATTGAACACCTTACAGTCCACCAGAATCAGTTCAAAAGTCATTTTTGAATCATGTAATAAGAACACAATGGTGAAGGCAGGTCAGAGGATGGTTTGCTGATAACGATAATTTCCCTAAAGATTCTGCAGAAATCCAAAACCTGATATCCACAAAAACCATTATCCTAGGTGAAAAGACACCTTTAAACCATATACTTTTGTAGTACAAGGATGAATGCATTGAAAGCACATAAGATACTCAGTGGCTTGACACCTGGCATGGTTGGTTTGGAACTAAACAAAGAAAAGTGTGTTACAACCTGTGACGAGTTTGGAGGGAATTTGGCAGTCTCGTAGTGAAGTGAAGAGTGTAGAGTCGAGTAGCACACTTTCATTGATTACCAAATAGAGTTTGAATGCTTCCTTCCCTAATTAGTAATATAGAACATTTTGAGAACCCTCAACAATTTAATAATATTCAAAACTGGAAATATAGCACAGAGAACGAAATTCTTTTCAAGAGCTGCCAATCTCAAATGTAAGCTGTGATCATAAATTGACAACAAAACTATACTTTTAACAGACAAAGTTACTGTAGGTATACTGATAGAGCTAACCACTAGACGGACCTTGCTCCTGGTTTCATAAGAGAAAGGAAACGAAACAGACACACAGATCAGTACAACAGAGGCCTAGAATACAAAGAGATAAATGAGTTCAGCAATAATGGAACTCTTAATACACCAGTTTAAACATCTGTTGCAAAACATTTTAGATTTGCATGCTTTTAATTATAATAACATTACAAGGAATATTCTTATCTTCAGAGTAAAACAAGCACACCACATCGGGAGGAGCAACATGATTTTTATACTAAGAGTTCTATTTGGCTGTTTTTTCATCTGTTAAAAAAGATGCAGTGCTCCACATGCAACTCGACATTTAGTGCAAAATATTTTATAGTTTTGTGATGTAAATCAGTACTAACTCCTGACCAAAGAACAAACAAACAGAACAAACAAACAATAGGTATTCATTCAATCCTGTGGATACAAGTGAAATGCAAGTAATGCTGACTATCAAAGGTAGACGCCATACTGGGTGATGCGTACAAAATACAAGTCTATAGAATGGGAATCACAAGGAAACAATACATGAGATAAGATTTCTCAGTAAAAATGTTGGTCTGAAAATGGTAACTTGAGCAAGGAAAATGTAACAATCTCTGAAAATTCATTTTCCTTGAGTTTCCCTCAGCTAACACCGTTTTTGAAAGGAGACAAAAGAACAGATAGATGCTTATGAAGCAAATTATGGAATGCTAGCAGATTAATGCTAATATGCCCATATCTTATAGCTGCCAAATGTAATGCAAATCCAAAACATTATGGAGACATTAAAAATTGCACAATGGATGCTTATGTGGCTGACAGCAATTATTGAAAAGCAAACAATTTGATTTATAGGTAAATAGAAAGTACCCAATAAATGCATACTGAAAATGTTTTTGAATTTCATTGTGTAAGGCACAAGTTCAGTATAATTTTTTGAAGGTGTATGGGTATACAAGCAAATTCTGCTTGGCACACAAATATTTTACCAATGACAGCAAATATAAGCTGCCTCAGAAGGCACCATTAATTAAATTATGTAGAAGTAAACTATACTTATGAGTATATAACACAGCTGTCATGTTGCCTTTGCACCATAAACCTACCCTGAGCTCACTCTGTGATCAAATGCAAAACTGAAAGTTCTCTCTTTCTAAAAGTCATTTTGGTAAACCCTTGAAAAGAAAGGGAGAGGGGAAATTTCATACAATTTCTTTAGGAGAAGCACCACCATGTTTATGACTTGAAATTAAAAAGAGAAAAAGAATAAAAATGATGGATCGAAAAAGATGCCAAGAGAGGCAGTGCATTTGTCAAACGACTAGTTTTTGTTTCGTCAAATACTTATAACTAAGAAAATAAGGATGAACACTTAATCATTTTACAATGCCGTGCATAAAGCTTTAACCAGACAAAAGAACTGATTTTTTTCTTCAGAAAAGTCGAACCCTTCGTTTCAATTCATTGCGTTTCCACTGTGGAAGCCGATAGAATTCCACCCTACTACAGCCAAAGAGTCCGTCAAACTCAGCATCTGACAAGTGGCGCTGCAAAGAAAGCAAATTATGACCAAATAGAAAAATGAAGAACAAAAAGAGCAGCATATTTTATGTAGAAAAATGTACCTCCAAGTTGCAGCGATCCACATCAGCTGGCAGACGATAGTTTGTGATAACAAGAAGGTGATACGGATAAATCTTAGGTGGTTCTGTTGAATTTGAATGATTCATATTGGGCAAGGAACGACGGAGGTGCGGAGAGTATGAAGCTGACCTCAAAGCACCCAACCCTCCAGTGTAAGTAGTAGATACAGGAAGTTCAACAGCCTAAAAGGGAGAACAGAAAATGTGATTGAAATGATAATTAAGTAGACAATATCAATAACTTGTAAGGACAGATGTGTATACTTACTAATGCACGTCGATCAACTTCTGATATTGAACCAGCAGAGACTGCAACAAAAGGGGCAATGTGAGATCAAGTCTAACATAAATGATAATAATAATTGATAGTGTAAAAGTTTCTTAATAAATCACTCACTGTCTGATTTCCCACTACTGAATTCAGTGCTATGAGTTTTTTCGCCAAGTCCACTAAATGAATAGTCACCCTAAAATTGAAACACAAACATTGCATTAATTTTCTACAATAAAATCATAAATTTAGTCACAATTGCTCGAAACCAGAAATTATAAGGACAGAAAAAAAACAGTTAAATGGAGGGGATTTTAACTTAGGCAAGAGCACACACTCAGACAATAAACCAACAACTTACAATATTGTTTAATTTCGACAATGATTAGAGGCCAACATCATCACTACACCTACTCACCGCTATACCAGACACGCTGCCGCCAGTGGAGCTGAAGGTATGAGAACGTGGTGCCAAGCCATAGCCTGGCTTAGGAACGTGCCTCAACGCAGACACAACTAAAGAATAACAATACCCCATGTACTAATCCACATCTACCTAGCCAGTGTCCACACATTCACTGAGATCCCCATGCGATTGTCACTAATATTGTAATCCTAAAACCCTGGCCTCAGGTGTGTTTAATTAAACTGCTGAAGATTAATTGAATAGGTTCTTGATGGGCTAAGAGGAATTGTGTGAGATGCATAGACAGAATGTGTTAAATGACTGAAGACCAACCTGGTCCGTGGAGTAGCCCATGAATCCACCGTTTCGGCCTGCAGCTGGCAAAGTACATGAACGAAGGCCATAGCCTGGTTTTGGAGGAGACCGCAGAGAAGACACCACTAGGACATGCATCAAACAAAAGAAAAAGAAAAAATAAACAAAAATAAAGCAACAACAAAAATACAAACAATTGTAACCAAACCATGCACAAACTAAGACTAAGAACATCAACAACAACAACAACAACAACAACAACAACAACAAAAACATCGGCAAAAAAACAGCACTTTTTCAAAAAGATCAATTGTAGAGTAAACAACACTCTAAAATGTAAAAGGTAATTAAAAAAACAAAACAAAAAAGCATATTAGAAACACGCGATGCTATCTCTAATTTTAGTTGATTCATACAGTGATTGAGCACATGCAAAACTAGTTTTAAAAAAGTCTATAATGGTGTCACATACAGGTACTAATCTGCATTTTTCCCAAACCCAAGTTAAACTTTAAATAAAGACTCTCTAAACTTAAGACTGTTGCTGTGCTGTTTGTATTCAGGGCAATGAGCACCACAGTGCTCAAAACAGAGATAGGAGCTCAATAATAGGGACAATCTCATGAAGAAGTTGAGCAAATGCTTGTGAACATGGCAGATAGTAATATCACAAAATAAACATGATTGACTGTAATTCACATCATTAATAACTCAAAGACAAATAGAAAAGCATCTTACCGTTATAGCTGGGTATGGCGCCAACAGACCGACCAACTGATGAGCGATAGCTTGAACTACGATCCATTAACTCCTCCTCTTCCCACGGCCTTGGATGGTCAACATTTCTAGATGGAGCTGATGCAAAAAATCCAAAATTTGGTACCAAAAGAAAAGAAGAAATAAACTGATACAATTGGGATGCTTAGAAATTAAAACATAGAAGCTTACAAGCATTGACAGGAGACTGGTAGCGTAGCCTGTATGTTGGCTCTCTTGATGCTGATGGTGTTCGTGAAGCATTCCTAGGATCAATATGAGACATTTTCCACTGCCGTAATTTTTCTCGCTCACGAACATTGTGAAGGAATACTTTTCCAATTCCTGTTGCAATTTTACTTAATTCTTTTTCTTCTCGCTAGAAAGAGTGATAAGAAAGTAAGTACAGGAAAAGAAAGAATGAAAAAAAGCCAAATATTGAAAAGAAAAAAACATTACCTTTAGCTTTTGATCATCAGTTTCTTTCTCTGACTTGCCATCATTTTCATCCTCATCATCAGATATTGGGACACCTTTGTACGTGTCCGACCATCGACGTCGACGCTCTATAAAACAATGCAACATGTTAACACATTGTGTGAGACTTGGAGGACTTTTAAAAGACTCTTTTGGACTAACCAGGATCAGTGTAAGGGTATGGTGGGGCAGGAAAGTCTTCCCTTTCTATCTTGGGTGCTTCTCCAGGTTGAGGTGGTTTTGCAGCAGGGAAATGGGCTAACTCTATTGGTTCTTCATTGTTCATGTGTGGACTCCGTGGTCTTGGTGTCTCACTGCGAATTGCATCCACAAGGACGGTCATGCCTGTCCTGGAGCCATGCTTTGATGAGAGATGAGCAAGCTTTGAGCCCCGTCCAGATGCAGCAGCTACAGAAACATTTTTTTTTTGTTTGATTCATTGTAATTATAATGATAAAACAACACAGCAAAATTGAATAAAAACAGAATTTCAAATAAAAACTTACAAGAAGGCCGATGGAAGTGAGGTGATGTAGGTGGTTTGTCATAAGGGTCAATGGGGCGCTTCAGGTACCCTTGCGTAGGTTCCTCAGTCAAATATGAGTATGTATAAATGCGAGATATGTCTTCTGGATACTGATGTTTATATTCTCGCAGGATAAGACCAGGGCTGCCCGTGCGCTGATATTGGTACTACAAATAACAAAATTTAGTTAATGACAAATTTTAACGACGCATAGTTTTATAAGAATCCAGGTGCTTGCCATAAGGAGTGAAAAGAGGCACTTAGAATCATAAGTTTAAACTTTTTAGTATTATTGTGGGAACAAAATGGTAAGATAAAAAAGTCAACAAAGGTAATTTAATGATAATAATAATAATACACAAGCACTTAAAATGCAATACAATCAGCACAATTTGAAAGGAAAATGAGAAACTAACCTTTCTAGATAAGCTATTGAAAGAGCCATTAAGACTAGGCGTGCGCGAGCGAATGGAAAACTGCAAACAAATTTCACACAGTATAACAGCCAGGAGCAAAAACGAAACAAAGGAAAAAATCATACATAAACAACTGAAAAGTGCTAGAGCTGCATTAAAGGTTTACGCACAAATTACAAAAAAAGTAATTAAAAATGCTGAAAACAAATACAGGATCATATAATGTGGATGAATTATGAGTCTCTACAAATGATAAAAATCAAATGAAAGGGAGAAGCATTGAGAATTGGGTACAAAATAAGCAGCTTTAGCACGAGATGGAAGCATACAGTAAAAAATAATCTGTTTGGATTAAAAGCGAATGGATTTAATTCAGCTATCTAGATAGCGGCGCTATGAGTTGATGCATTCCTTTTACAGAATAAAAAAGCATATCACTCAACTAAAATAGATGTTAATCAAACGCCCTATTGGACACTGTGGACGGGAAAATTATCCTAGTGAAAAGATCTATGAGATCAAATGACACAACAGTACAGCATAGTGCCAAATCCAACGATTACACCGGATGCAAGTTGAAAGTTGATAGAAATTGAGGGAACCTACTTTCATGCAATGAGTAAAACAATTTATGTTCATTAAATAGGTGCTTCAATATTTATTTTTCCCGGAATCTTATTTTTTTCCCTCTTCTTCCTTGTTAGGCACAACCCTGTTTGAGGCTACATGACACTGACGACTGACAGCTGCGGCGAGCGCCTGTGAGGTAGGCTAGGCCCACGACTCGTCCCGCAACACACAGGTCCGGAGACGGTGGCCTACCTTGCCCCTGTCGTCGCCACAGGGGCAAGGTAGGCCAGCCTCTCCACAGCGATGGGTCGCGCGGCGCGTTGCTGGCCTACCTCACAGGCGGTTGCGCGGCTACGCAACCGACACGGCAAAACGGCGCACCTGTAGCGTTCTCGCGCGCCCACAACAATGCAGCCACAAACGGGGGCGTGTGTTAGGCCGAGACGTCAACGGGGTTAGTGCGTGGAGCCGTCCTCCGCGAGAGGCTCCCCCTCCCCGGGCTCACCTGCATGTCGCTCACGGCCGAGGAGCTCATGCGGTCGAACGCCGTGTCGCGGCCGCTCTCCGCCTCCGTCTCCGTGTCCGTGCAGTGGCCGTTCTCGCCGCCGTTGAGGATGGCGCCGTTCTCGGTGGGGCCGGGGCCGCAGCGGGGATGCCAGATGGCGCCGCCTGGAACAAGGGCGCAGGTCGGCGTCAAGGGGAAAGTCCCGGACACACGGCGGCGGCAGGCGGCCACGCGACACGCGACGCCACGCGACGCAACGCACCCTGCAGGTACATCTCCTCGCCGTCGCCGAACGGGTCCCCGCACTTGGTGCAGCGCGCGCACGTGGGGTGGAAGTGGTGGTTGTCGCCGGCCTGCAGCACCTTCCCCGAGATGTAGCGGCTGCAGTACGCGCACTTGACGCCGAACTTCTTCTGGTAGTCCTTCTCGCAGTACGGCACGCCATCCCTGCGGATCACGGCGAGTGAGTCTGGCGTCCGGGACGGCATGCGCCTGGTTACGTCTGTCTGCGGCGGAGGTACTCACTTGCCCATGTACTCGCCGTGGAGCACGGCGTCGCAGGCCTTGCACTTGAAGCACCAGATGTGCCACTGGCGGTCCAGCGCGATCAGGGCCTGGCACTCCTTGAGCTCCTCGTGGCAGCCGGCGCAGTCGTTGGAGCCCAGCCCCAGGCCGCCGCCCCCGCTAGTGGGGCTGGCGGGGCTGGCGGCCGGGGAGCGCTCGTCGCCGGAGTGGCCCGAGCGCACGGGGATCTGCACGCAACGCGCGCACAGCACCTCCTTGCCAGTGTACGTGACGCGCTCGCCCGACGGGAAGGCTTGCCTGCAAACGTCATCCAATCGCATTTGCAACTTGCTGTCCATCAATTTTCATTTAAAAAAAAAAATGTTTTGAAGTGAACTGTATATACCGGCAGCGTCCGCAGGTGAAGCACTTCTGGTGGTAGGTGTTGCCGAGGGCCGCCACCACCTCGCCCTCCACGTACTCGCTGCAGACGGCGCACTTGGTGCCGAACTGCCGCTGGTAGTCCGACGTGCAGTAGTAGGCGCCATCCTTGCAGAAGAAGCCGCCCTGCGCCAGCGAGTTGCGGCACACTGAAAAAAGGAGACAAAACGCGTCAGACAAACTGTTCCTTAAAAACAAAAAAAAAAGTTGAAAAACATTTGTTTCGCGCTCTAAAATGTACACACCTTTACACTTGAAGCACGCGATGTGGAAGTACTTGTCCTGCACCCGCAGCACCTCCCCGGAGCATTTTTTCTTGCAGCTCTGGCAGTACGTCTTTCCTGCAACCGAGAAGAAGGCGACAGCTCGTTAGCAAAGCAGCCAGTGTGTCGGACAGGGCGGACACTTCGGGCAGGCGGCGACTCAGGCTGCAGCGGAAGACAACGGGGGGAATAGGCAACTCCAGCCCGGTCGAGGCGAACGCTGTGCAGGATGTGAAAAGCACCCCCCCCCCGATCAGCAAACGTGTGCGTGGTGCTAAAGGAGGCGCAAACAGGCGCTAATCACCTAGTCCTCGGCCGGGGCCGCCGGGGCGGAGGAGTGGAGGGGGAGGGGAGGGGAGGCACGACACCTTTATCATGACTTTTCGCGAGGGCTGGCCTGGGCCGGCCGGACTGGAGGGACCTTTAGGGCATCGTTTCCAAAGCCTACAGGGCCTGGCCTGGGCCTGGGCTCCCTCGCCCTGCGCGGCGCGGCGGCCCGCCCGAGAAGCCGGCCGTTCGCAAGAGAGGGAAAACCAAAACTACGAGCTTTATTCCCATTCGACATGCAACACGAGCACGGGGCGACGGCAGGCGTGCCCACTGGTAGAAACGCCACGCAAAACACGGCGAATGCACAGCGGTTGCCGTGAGTCCGACGGGAGCGGGCCGCCGTAAAAACAAAAAGTAAGCCATGACCCGCGTAAAAGAAAGAAAAGTCCAATCAAACGCGCGCCACAGCTTCAAAAAGATAATATCGCCCTTGGCGGCGTGTGGTCAAGTGGCCGCCATGAGGAAGATTCACAAGCAGCAGAGCATGCCGAGGTGCGAGGGTGGACGCGGCAGGCCGGGGCTAGACTGTCCCACGAAAAATTACATGTTCTGTTTGCTCACGGGGCACTTGAAAAATAAGTTCTAAATGTAAAAAAAGGAATAAATTCTTTTGGCCGAAGCAATCGGACAGAATTTAGAGGTCGCGCATCGCTCCCAAAGGAAAAATTACCGTTTTTGGCAAATTTCGCTCTTTCTCTCACAGCCACGGCGCTTCCTGGCCGTCCCACGCGACTCGGTCGGACTCCTAGTACCCTCGCGTAACATTCAAGCACCAACCCGACCCTTGCCGACCCCTTAAACTCTTTTATAATAGCCAAAAACAACAATTTTTTTCAGAAAATTTTGTTGAAAAGTGCTGAAAAAGGTGTAAGGAGTGAAGATTAGGCAAATCTGTGTGGCTCAATCGATTGGAAATCATCGAAAACCCATGTGTCAAGAATTGGAAGTGCCTACGGTCATAAATGGCCGCACCCGAAGCAGTACAAATCCGCAATTTTCGGGAAACGGCCTATTTTACATAGGGGCGTTCCAGACCAAAAAAACCACTTGGCCGGCGACCATCTCGGACCAAGCTCAAACGTTTTCCAGGGTTCCTTTCATCCATACGGACTGCCTAAACACCATGGGAGCGAGATCCGACTCGAACTCCGGATTGTATAGGGGTCTTCACCCCCCCCCCCCCCCCCGGCGGTTTTTTAGGGTTCGGGACTTGTTGGGCTGGTGGAACCGGCTGTTTAAAAAATGTACCCTTTAGGTTATTCTTGTAGGAAATAGTGCGCTCTTTCGATTGGCGTGTCGCACGAGGCTGTACGACGTCGGGTTTTGACGCTACGGGCTCTCAAAGTCGCTCAATTTCACCATTTTCACTGGAGATGTGATCACATGGCCGCTCAAAGTAGATCATCGTCGATTTCGCTCCTCTGAGGCCTCAATGGTGCCTACCCATGGGTCAACACCCCTACAAAATGTCAGCCATCTCAGGCAATTATTAGAGAAACTGTGATCAATGGAAGTTTGGGGCCATTTTACCACTGGGCTGAGGAGGATTTGGGTCCAGAAAAAACATTTTTTTCTTTTATCTCATCGTGATCAACACAGTGAAAATGGTAAAATTGAGCGACTTTGAGAGCCCGTAGCGTCAAAACCCGACGTCGTACAGCCTCGTGCGACACGCCAATCGAAAGAGCGCACTATTTCCTACAAGAATAACCTCAAGGGTACATTTTTTAAACAGCCGGTTCCACCAGCCCAACAAGTCCCGAACCCTAAAAAATACGATTTCAAGAAATCCTAGGAGTCACGAAGTCAATTTGATTATTGTGTAAGAGTGTGGAGAAAGAAAAGAAGTGGTGTTGTGAAGTTGTGGCTCAGGGGACTACCAATGGCAGTGGTACCAATGTGGTCGATGTGCCATCCGTCGAAATTTAAACTTGACAATAAAAAGAAATCAAAATGCTGGTAAATTCAAAAAATTCCAATGCTAATGTATTCCGCAGTGTTCTGACAATGGAACATCTTTGAAGTCCATCATGATTAAAATGTTCTTAGCAGAAAGAAGTCAGTAAATTAATTTTCTCGGGTTGGCAACTATTTTCTCGGCGTCTGCGCCCTTGCGAAAATCGCGAAGCTGAAAGCGCCAGCAGTCGCGCATTAAAACTGCCCCTCCATTGTTGTGGACGTTGAATTGTTTGGCTTGTTTCAAAAGGCTATGGTTCTCTAGTCATGTTTTCTTCAATTCTGTGTAATAGTTCTCCCTTACAACGTATCAACACCACGACGGTTGGTTTGACAAACTTCATAAACTCGGGAGGGATGGTTTCGAAACGCGGGTGAGTCTTGTTCGAGGAACATGAGCACTGCAAGTCGCGAGGTGGAGCGAAGTGGTCCTAGTGCTAACTGAATCACAACAACAACACTGCGCATGTCCAAAAACACTCCAATCAAGAAGTATTATTGGATAGTTCTACCCGAAAAACTGCGTTCGAACCGGCACCAATTCTATTGTTGCATCTTGTCTACCTGCAGTCAAAGAAATTTTTCATTTCGAACGTTGCTTTTTCAGCTTTTGGAGTAAGCTGTACAGACCCAAAAAGAAGCTCCGCTATTGGTCCGCCCCGGCTCGGCTCCCCCCACTCCCTTTTTTTTCCTTTGACGAGTCGAGTTTTGCCATGGAAACGGCGATTTTGACAGCAAATTTCTCAAAATTGGCCACCAAATTTTTGACCAGATTTCAACATCAGAATCAGCGTTCAAAGTTCTACTAGTCTGCAAAATCTCATTAAAATCGTATAGAAAACTTCCGAAATGCATAAAGGGCCACACAAATCAAATCTCGAGCCGGCTGAGTCCTGGGTATACTATAAGGCTACTTCGTGCCTAAAAACCGCCGGGGGGGGGGTGAAGACCCCTATACAATCCGGAGTTCAAGTCGGATCTCGCTCCCATGGTGTTTAGGCAGTCCGTATGGATGAAAGGAACCCTGGAAAACGTTTGAGCTTGGTCCGAGATGGTCGCCGGCCAAGTGGTTTTTTTGGTCTGGAACGCCCCTATGTAAAATAGGCCGTTTCCCGAAAATTGCGGATTTGTACTGCTTCGGGTGCGGCCATTTATGACCGTAGGCACTTCCAATTCTTGACACATGGGTTTTCGATGATTTCCAATCGATTGAGCCACACAGATTTGCCTAATCTTCACTCCTTACACCTTTTTCAGCGCTTTTCAACAAAATTTTCTGAAAAAAATGGTTGTTTTTGGCTATTATAAAAGAGTTTAAGGGGTCGGCAAGGGTCGGGTTGGTGCTTGAATGTTACGCGAGGGTACTAGGAGTCCGACCGAGTCGCGTGGGACGGCCGGGAAGCGCCGTGGCTGTGAGAGAAAGAGCGAAATTTGCCAAAAACGGTAATTTTTCCTTTGGGAGCGATGCGCGACCTCTAAATTCTGTCCGATTGCTTCGGCCAAAAGAATTTATTCCTTTTTTTACATTTAGAACTTATTTTTCAAGTGCCCCGTGAGCAAACAGAACATGTAATTTTTCGTGGGACAGTCTAGCCGGGGCACATTCCACCACTCCACAGGGACACGGCGGGGCACGAGGCGTGGCGCCCCTCGTTAGTCGTCGGCGCCGTCGGCGGCATGCGGCCCGACGAGTCCAGCCGGACTTTGGCGACGCCATCCGGCAGGACCCGCAGGACCCCGCAGGACCCCGCAGGACCCCGCAGGACCCCGCAGGACCCCGCAGGACCCCGCAGGACCCCGCAGGACCCCGCAGGACCCCGCAGGACCCGCAGGGCGAGGAGCGACGCGGCCAGGAATAACGCGACCGAAATACGCCGCCGACTCCAATCCACACGCAGTACACTCACGGCTCGGGCACGCGGGCGGGACAGGCGGGCAGGCAGGCAGGCGCACGCCCCCCTCGCTCGGCCCGCGTGTCACGGGCGTGTCAACGGCCGCTGGCGGGTAGCGCACGCAGAGGAAAGGGCGCAGGCAGCACCGCGAGGGTGGAGCCACCCTGTCCTGTCCTGCCCCAACGGCGCCGACCAGCCCTTTTAATTCCCGCGCTAGTTCATTATTTTCATTTCCGAAGTTGCTGGATGCCCGGCACGGCCGGCACGCACAGCGCACGGCCCGCCAAGCCACCAAGGCGGCCCAGACATCGCCCGACGCCCCGCAGTGCCCTAGCTTACAGTGCCCCCGCACTGCGCCGCCAAAAGCCGCGTTCTATTCCTGCCTCGCGATGAAAGCCCCGGTCCTGGAGGGGAGGGCGACCGACCCTCGGACCGCCGCGCCGCGCCACACCGCGCCCCCTACAAGCTCGTCCTCGTCGAGCAAGCAAATGAGAAAATCAGCTGCCGGGCCCCATGGCTCGCCCCAGGGCCCCAAGCCGCGCTCTGCCCCGCTGCTGCTCGGCCTGGCCTGCAAAAGCGGTGCCCGCGCACTGCGCACTGCCTCTCGCTACAGTACCAGCAGACGCCAAGCCGATTCCAGCAAGCCGCACACACACACACACACACACACACACACACACACACACACACACACACACATACACAAACAGCAGCCAAGACTGTTTCCCGCTTACCGTCCTGCTCAGAGTCCGCTGCGACAGTCACAAAACAAGAAGAAAAACATCCATGTTAGTAAAGAGCACGTTAGTAACAGCACGGACACGCTCGCCTTGCCCAAGCCCCGCTCGCCCACACTGGAAATAATGTTAGGGGGGTGATTGCTGCATTCGGTCGCGTCAA